TAAAAGATTATATTAATTATAAAGCAGTTTAGTTGGAATTGTCATTTTAGGGAAGAATATCTGGTGTCCTGCTTTTTGATCCTTTTGAATTTTCATGTATGTCATTTTGTGGATAAAATAATGTAAAACAGCTGTTGTTAGCAGTTGAAATTCAGGAACAAAGTTGGCTTTTTAATACTTCATTTTAATTTCTTCCTCTCTGTGACAAAGTCTTAAAAAATAGTAGATCAGAAATAGTTTTTGGTTTTTTTTTTGTAGTGAAACAGTCTGTGCACTACTCTAATTACACATCAAAAACCCCTTGAAGAAGTCCATGTCAGTGATGATATCTTTGAATTAGGTAGTGTCTTCTAAGTTTTAATAAAGTTCTGACTTCAATATTTTAATTTAGCTTCTCATAAGTTAGTAAAGCTGTACATACAGAAGTTGGGTAACTGAAAGTATAGAGTGACGAGATACAGTGGAAGGAGCTACATATGGGCTTTAACTTTGCACATGTAGATACTTGGGATTTGAACAGTGTTTTAGAAGTCTGAATTGAGTTTAAATTAGGCCAGTTGTTACTGGTTTACTTAACAGCTGAAGCTGGTTGCATTATTGCTATCAGTACTTTTATCAAAAGTAGAACTCTACCCAAATAACAGTTAGATCTTTTAATTTTCCTGTTCAGTACCTCTGTAAATTCCATCTGTTATTCTTAATTTTGTTTGAGAAGAATGATGAAAACTTTCCTTTGAGGCAGACCAGAGTCTGTTTTTGTGGACTGGTTCCCAAGACGTGTCCTCATGACAGTAAACAGAAACGTTAAATCACAGGGAGAATCCTTTGTAATTCTGTAAGTATGTGAAATAGTTTGGGCAAATGGAGATGTGTGGCTAAACACTTAAAAACCAACAAGTCTCTTCCTGTGCATGTAGGAATCAGTAACTAGTTTTGTATTTTTTTTTCCTTTTTTCTTTCCTTAGAAGTGTTACAGTACAGTTGTAAACACTCACTTTAAACACCATGGTAAGTGGTTAGTTATGTTTTCATAAAAATATATTCCAATAAATTACAAGTTGAGTTCTGTAATTTTTTTGTAGTTTGTAATTGTAGAAGTTCTTTTTTTTTTTCTTGTGCAGTGAGCCTAAATTAAAGATACATTTACTTCCTATGACTTCGAATATGTAAGCATGTATTGAATTTCATGACTGTTATTTTGCTTTTGCTTGTGTTGAATGCATCAGGCATTCAAAAATAAAAATATCATTTAAGGATTTTATTCAAGAAAACCCGAAAAAGTCTTTCTAGAAAGCATTTTTTTTTGTTAGTAGCAATATATGTGTTAGCAATGGATAGCAATTTGCTAAAGACACCACAATTATTTTTTAATTTGTCTGCAAGCATTCTGTTATGGTAGAAAGGTAGATTTAATTATCATTACTTCTCTATTTCTTCTTTGACTGTTTTTTAAATTGTTATGCTTTTAGATTTTGTTATCTTAGAAAGTGTGTTAAGAGTTCTTATCAGAGTCTTTGTGTTTTAATCTATTATGTCCTCATTACACTATCTGTGTTTGAGTCTACATTCTGCCATTGAAATGTTAGGAAAACTAAGTTCCTGATTAAGATCTTCATTTAGTATGAATGAGACAACAAAGAAACTCTGTTACTTCAATTAGGGCCACACAGATTGAGTTATTTGTTGTAATGAATGCAAGCAGTTGAGGCATATCAGGAAATTGAACTAAAATCTCCTCAATTCTAGTTCTTTGTCCAGCTGCAAAATATTTATTTCCTGTAAACAGATTCTCACTTTGAAGTTCCTGGTATTTCTCCACGGTATTGACATTGGTTAGACACTCACAAATGACTATAATGAAAGGTTCAATTTTTTTTTTTTTATTATGCACTTTTACATAGCTTAGATATCTGAGAACCATACAACGATATTCATTTTACATTTCTGTTTCATGTGAAAACTGAATACAGTGATGTCAAAGGCCTTAAATAGATCAAGTAGGTGGCAGTGTCTCTAATGCATGCTTGCAAGGCTAAGATTTTGTTGTCACTTGGGCCTTTGTGTCACTTGGGCAGATACTTGTACAGCTGAAAGAAACTGTGAGCTGCTTTAACTTCATTAGCTGATACTTATACTTAGTGTCTGTGCAGTGTTTGCAATGTTTGCGGGCTTAAAATTTGTGGACTTTTTTTTTTTTTTTGAAGAAAAGTTTGGGTGAATTTCACAGTTCACTGACAAAGCACGACTTCTTAGAAGTAGTAGAAGTTTGTGTTCTGTGGTAGAAGTTGAATGACATTGCGTTAATTTGCTGAAAAATAAAAACGTATTACTGAGAATCCTTTTAACATGCCAAAACCTAGGAGTGTCTCTTGTAAGCTAGCTCCTATTAAGAGCTGGGACATTCAGAAGAAATGGTCGTTTTACTCTGAAAGCTTGCAATCTTTATTACCAGCGGTAAACAAAATAATTGGATGTAGAGAGACGGATGTAGAATAGTAGACCACCTTAGCACGACACAGTGGTGTCACTGGACTAAAACATGGGAACTATGCATTATTGATTGTAAGATTTGTGATAATCGCTTAAAGACTTATTCATCCTTTCTGGCTGATAACTGGGGAAAAAAATGCATTTAGTAAATAATTTAGTAAAAGAAATTTTAAGAACAGAAATTCTAGGAGTTGATTCACAGTTCTTCCATCTGTTAATCTCAGGCAAAATAAAGTATAATTTAGGGAGTTGTTTCCTCACTGTTTAATTAAGCTGTGAAATCTCTGTCAGTGGATAATGATTCAAGTGCTAAGAGCTTACATGCTATTAAAGAGGGGGATAGAACAAAGTCACGTAGTAAAATCAGGGGAGTGTGTTCAACATAAAAGGCAGCTTAAGAAGTCTGGAGCTGTAAGCTCTGAGAGACTGCTGAACTGTTTTAGGGAAGTGTTGCTGCACTGTCTGCTATATTTCATCTTCCTGGATATTTGCTTTTACAATCTTTGTCTGAAACAATAAGATGCTTTTTTGGTTTGATTTAGTACAGAGGTGTTTCTGATCTAGTGTAATTATGTCTAAATATATAAGATAAATTAAACCTAGAAAACTCTTCTGTGTTATTGTCTGTTATTGACAGCCTCGATCCCTCAAGAGACCACCAAAGTGTAAAAACCTGGTAGCAATTATCTTCTCTAAGATGTATGGTTGGTTGGATAAATCCTTTATTTTTTCTAGGTAGATGTCTCCTTAGTGTTGAAGTTGCTGTCCTATGGTAACTGGATCCCCTTCCATTAGAACAGTAAGAAAGATAGATCACAAGTCTTCAGTAAGGGTTAGATTTACTTTCATCCTCTCCTGTACGGGAGAAACTGCAAGGGATTAATTTTTGAGAAGGTAGAAAGTTTGTTTCTGACCTTAGCACTTCTGCTGGCTAACTATTTAAATAACCAACAATATTTAAATATTGTTCTGCTGAATGCATGCTTGCCTGAAGTCAAGAGAATGATCTAAGTTCATTTTTTATGTTTCTGGTGTCACTTTTTCAGACTGAAGCCACAATTAATTACTGAAAAATATACAAAAACTTTAACTACTCCTTTTTTGTCCTTTGAAAGGCTCCAGAAACAAGGCTGCTACAAGATTCCGTATGTTCTGAGGGGATATACCTGCGTATTTTCTTAAATTTTTTGGATGCTTTTCCCTTCTCCTTAGTGGCCAAGAGGGCCAACAGCATCCTGGCCTGCATTAGAAATGGTGTGGGCAGCAGGAGCAGGGAGGTGATCATCCCCTGTGCTCAGCTCTGGTGAGGCCGCACCTCGAGTACTGTGTTCAGTTTTGGGCCCCTCAATACAAGAAAGACATTGAGGCCCTGGAGCATGTTCAGAGAAACTGGAAACAAAACTGGTGAGGGGCCTGGAGCACAAACCTTATGAGGAGCGGCTGAGGGAGCTGGGATTGTTCAGTCTGGAGAAGAGGAGGCTCAGGGGAGACCTCATTGCACTGTACAACCTCCTGAAGGGAGGTTGTGGTGAAGAGGGGTTTGGCCTCTTCTCCCAGGCAACGAGCAGAACAAGGGGAAATGGCCGCAAGTTGTACCAGAGGAGGTTCAGGTTGGACACAAGGAAGAACTTCTTCTCTCAGAGAGTGGTCAGGCACTGGAATGGCTGCCCAGGGAGGTGGTGGAGTTGCCGTCCCTGGCAGTGCTCAGGAGGCATTTGGATGAGGAGCTGTGTGATGTGGGTTAGTGCTTGTGGTGGCAATGGTGATGAAAAGACAGTTGGACTAGATGATCTTCTAGGTCGTTTCCAGCCTTGTGATTCCATGATTTTATGATTCTATGATTCTTCCAAGCTGCAGTACTAATAAAAATTTGAAGTTTTTTTTAATAAATATTTTGAAAAAAATAATGTAAAAGGCTTTGGCTCTGCAGATATTCTACTTTGTTATGCCTGTATTCAAGAATGTTGGTGTTGTAATGTTGGGATAGGAAATATAATTAAAAAAACCACCTCTTCAGCTTTTATTTTTTTTAAGTTTTGAAATAACATTCTCAGTAAAGTTGTCTTTATCAGAAATCCATGTAATTCTTCCCTGAATTACATGTAATTTTCCCTGATTCTGCCACCTCTCACTTTTTTCCCTACTTCAACTGCAGTAATTTTGAGGTAGTTCTTTAGATGCTGTTACATTTTTTGGATTAAAGATAAGGTCATCGTATCTCTTGTGAGAATCAGGTGGAAGAGTGATAAGGTTATTTCACGCTGCTTGCTGTATGATTTTGCACTTTAGCCATCAGGAGTAATGTACCATACTGAAAAAAATGTCAAGTGTTGTAGGTGCCTGATAGTGTGTGGCTTATCAAAACCAGCCTCTTGATGCATTCAATTTTAACATGCTGTATTTAGCATACCAGGCTGTATCTAGATGTAATGATAAAATCCGTAGTTTTAAGTTTCTTTGTCCTAGAAGTGTATGTTTATTCTTTTTTTCTGTTCCCTCTTTCCATTTAGATGCAAAGTCTGAAGGGTGGTACAGAAGCCATAGCCCACTTGGATCAGTTAGAAGCTGATTATTACGATCTGCAGCTTCAGTTATATGAAGTGCAGTTTGAGATCTTGAAATATGAAGAGCTGCTGCTGACAGCACAACTTGAAAGCATCAGAAGACTGATATCAGGTACTTCATGCATTTTAACTTAATACATGATCTGAAAAAGAGATAATTCTATTCTTAATGGTCTAGTAAAGTCTGCGGGAATGAAATGAGAACAGTTTCTTTACCATGTGACAAGCTGGATATTCTGACTTAAATTTACACTTGTTCATAGGCAGTACAGATGCAGGAGTTTTTGTATGATTTTCATTGTCTGTGTTTGAAAATGAGCAAATAAGGTTCTGTGTAAAGTTTACAAAAACTAAGTTCAGGCAGGAAGAAATGTTTGCATTGCTGGTCTTATGGGATAAAAACCTGCAAAGTGACTGCTGTAAAACAGAATTCTTCAGAAAATCTTGAAGCAGCTTTTATCACAGTCTCACTGGTGTAGAGCAGTGGTGTAAGCCTCTTATTTCCAAACTGTATTGTGTACTTAGAAACTAAAGAAATGGTACAAGAAAAATGTACAGCATTTTTGAATCTAGTTGTGTCTTTGGACCTTTTCATGCTTAGTATTTTTTTTCACATAAGCTCTGTTTTATTGTTCAGAGTATAGGGTTTTTTTGGTTTTTTTTTTTAGATTAGAAAAGTCATTTGAAAGAGCAGAGATTTAAATCTTTTGAGTTGCCTCTGGAGAAAGCAAAAACATGGAGTACTACAAATTCCTCTCACTGTTGTGAATGTCCTACCTTCAGGTTTGTGATGGCAACAAAGTTAACTGCATGTGTAGGAGCTAGGGATTGAAAATTCTTTAAGTGACTTAAATGGCTGTGACTTAAGTGACTTCGTGGAAAGCTTCTTGTTGCTGTACACGTGTTGTGGTTTGTACTTGAGTAATGAGTACTGATTAATTTTATTAAAAGAAAACACTTGAATGGGAGATTGAGAAGAAATTTGTATCAGAAGTTTGCATCAAGATCCTTTCATTTAGTGATAGTAGAACCAAAGGGCCTTCAGAGATTAAGTCTCCTCTAAAACATAATTGGTCATTACAAGTTTTAACAAATGTTATGTCTAGAGATCTCAAAAAAACCCCAAAACTTAGCCTCTCGACTTGATCCATAGTAAAAACAAAGCCACAAACCAACTAAAAATACAAACTGTCCCTTACTCTGCTAACAACTGAATAGTTGACTGTTCTGGCTTCCTTTGTTCTTTTAAATTTATGTAATACTCTTTAATAAACAAACATTTTCTTTTGCAAATCCAACACTGGGTTTGGAAACTATTAAATAATAATATATCATCTTACTTTAAATGGCAGTAGTAGTCTTTTACCTTCATTAATCAAATACTAGCATTCAAAAAATGTGAATTTATTATGTTAGAATTTTAGAAAGGTTCTTATCCTATCTGTACAAACTAGCTATATATCTTTATAAGATGGATTTGTGGTGGATGCATTGGCATCTCCAGAGAATGAGTTGGCTGGTTACTGTTTTGGATGAGAGGGTGTTAACAGTTGGAAATCACATGGATTGTATCTGAAGGTGAAAAATTCTTTTATTTTAAGTATTTGTGTCATTAAAATGTTTAAGTCCTGAACAGATGTTATAACATTTTTGGAAGTTCTAATGTTTTTTACAGAAATGCTTTGGGATTTTTGATGGGTGTTGCTTTTTTTCTTCTTTCCAAACAGTAAAACAATATGTAACATGTTGACCTCAGTGGGAACTGACATCAAAAGAGTTTCAGGATGGATATTAGGAAAAAGGTTCTTTACCAGAGCCACTGGGATAGGTTCCCCAGCAGCCCCAAACTGCCAGAGTTCAACAGGCATTTGGACAGTTCTCTCAGGCACAGGGTTTAAATTTTGGGTTGTCTCTGTGTGAAGCTGTATTTGGATTCTTGTGGGTCCTTTCCAATTCAGGGTATTCTGTGATTCTGTGTTTTCTGTCTTGTACATTTGACAGTTTTGCAGCTCATCTGTTAGGGTTTCATTTGTAAATAGCTATCCTTAACTCTTAATGAAATCTCATTTTAAAGCAAGTGAATTCTTCCATTTTATAAGTGTGTATGGAAATACAATAGGTTTTAGCCATAGTTCTTGTTTTTACTCACTATTTCAAAGTGAGTTCTAACGATTTAACAACTTTATGTCTGGATGAAATTCTGTATAAACTGTGCACTACACTAAAGACTTGAATAGGTCTGATATCTATTGTTGTTTTTTTCTGATAGTATCCATATCCTGCTGACTCAATATCAACATTATGTAATAAAAATTTTGGTTGCAGCAGAGACCTTATGCACAATTGATTGAACTAACAACCACTTTTGAAATTGATGGTGTTCTGAAGAAGACCCTGTCCTCTTTCCCATATTATCTAAGGGCAGAAGTAGGTGGAATCTGTGATCTTCCTAAGATGTAGCTGATGAAGGAGGAATCATAGAATCATAGAATTGCACAGGTTTCCCACTGCTGCCACTATGCACAGTGTCTGGAAGGCTAGAAGCATCCTGAGAGGATTTTCGGCAATGTGTTGTCTAACTTCCCTTGTGGGTTGTGGCAGAAGAATCTCATGCTTAAAGATTTCAGTAAGAATCTATACGTTCTGAACTTTGTAGTGTAGACCAGGGGATATTATTGTACGATGTAGGTCCCTTGTATTAAGTGATCCAAAGGCATTCATGGGCACTGTGATCAAGTTTGTTTACAGTCAGAAGTGCCACATTTTCAGTAACATTTGTTCTTTAATGTTTGAGCTTACCTGAATGACAACCATCTAACCTTCTGCATTTTTTTTTATCATCTTCTGAAATGACTGTAGTATTCTTATGCATTAAATCTTGCAACACAGGATGGCATTGTCTTGTAACAAAGCAAACTGTTGACCAAAAACACACTGTTGATTGTACTTTTTTTATTGCTGATGTTTTTAAAACAGAGAAGAGAGATGAAGTGGTATATTATGACACTTACGAAAGTATGGAAGCAATGCTTGAAAAAGAAGATCCGGCATCATCTGTACACTTACAGAAAGAGGAGCTGCAAAAGTTGCAGCAAAAAATCCGCCAGCTGGAAGCCAGGCGTGGACGTATTTCAGCCAAGAAAGCCTACCTCAGAAATAAAAAGGTACTAATAAATTGCAAATTTCTGTCATTATTAGCAAACTTAATAGAACTTCAAAATTATATTTCAAAAGATTGCATTATATTAAATTAAACTTCCACATCTCTGAAATTCTGTGGATTATAGTTACTATATGTTAAAAGTTGTTTTAAAATATAATTAGACAAACAAGTATATATAATAAAATTGATATTTTAAGGTAATTCAATTTGGCTTTAAAGAACCCTTGAATGACAGGGAAGAGAGCAAATAAAATAATTTCTATTCACTTATCAAATCACTTGCATGTGGAGATTCCAGAATGATTTTGCAGAGAGCAGATTTATGTCTTGATTTATATTTTGCAGAAGAAAATCTTCAGGGATGTTTTCTGATTCATGAGTTATTTTTCTCTTACTTCTGTCCTTTTAAGGCAAAGCAGCTACACATGTAATCCAGTATACATTCTTAATTTATAAAACTAGGTTTGCTATTATGAATTAATCGGCTCAGTTTCATTTTTTAATGTTTCGTGGTTGAAATATTGTGTTGAAAGTGTTTTTCATGCAGCAAAGATTTTAATGTGCTATGTCAAATGTAGATAAATACATTCATTCCTTTTTCCAGTATGACTTGTTCATTGTTCCCTAACAGTTGACACTTAGATCAATATGCATTAATAATGAGATAATTTAATGAATAGATAAAATTTTTTTTAGAACAATGTAATACTTGTTAAAAGTATTAAGTAATTGGGGTTTAACAAGTAATACTTCGTAGTGTTTCCACATCTTCTTGTATATTCTCAAAATATACAGAAGTCCTAGCTGAGATCCCATTTTAAATGAGGATCTTTATATTTTGTGTTTTATATGATTAACAATATATGGTGATGAGTGATTAAGGAAGCACAGAAAATCATTCTCTGACATCAGATTTTATTTTTCAGGGGAAGTTGTTCCGGTCTTGTCTGTTAATGAGATAATATAGCAACAGATAATGAACTACTATGTATAGAATAACATGTAAATAAAAATTTCTTTGACTGTAGTCATTTTTATTTTTTTTTTCAGAAATTTTCTTTATGTATGCAGTTGGTTTTTTTTGACTGTCAAATATTTTTAAGACATCTTTACTTAGAAACTTCTCCTAGAGATCTGTTAGAGACCTTATTCAGTTGTACTTCCGAATATTGAGCCAGAATTTTTAAAATTTTTGGTTTCACTGAGCTCAGTGCAATTTCACTGTTCTGATATTTTATTATTGTGAAGATAAGCTCTGTACTCATTTCCTTACACAAAATCTATTTGCGTTTATTAAGCAATCATCTCCTGAAGTTCCTTTGTCTTGGTGACAGTTATACAAGAAAAAGCACTCAGTATTTTTCTTGTTTCTTTAAAGCGTGTTATGAATCGTTCATGGAAGATCTGTCTATTGTTATCCCAGTCTACCCCCTGCTGGCTGCACAGTAGTATTAATTAAGTTACAGTATGAAACAAATATCTGTTTAATTATAGAGCTAGATTTCTAGCAGTGTTATGGTAATAAAGATAATCTAGAAGGTGTCTAGAAAAATTATTTGGAAAACAGAGAAATGAATAGAATTATTTGACATCCAGTAAAAGTGCTTCTTATCCTGAGCAGCTAAGAGAAGGAACCTATTGAAGTTATTTGGACCATTCTTATAGTGCACACTTTCACCTATCAATCTTCACATTCTGCTATGTCCATTTAATAGGAGATTTTTACTGTTTCACAAGCAGTGAGGTTAAAGCACAGCCCATGCCTAAGCAGATGTATGCAGTAACGGTTAATGTAAGTTTATTGGTATGCTTTAAAAATATTATAACTATTATGTTTGAATGGCATAACCACATAGAAATCTTAAAATATGCTTTCTGCACATACTGAGTTTTCTAAATGAGAAGATAATTTTTTAACTGCGACGTTCAGTATGAAAGTAAAATTCACTGGAACTAGCTATGTACAACACTAACACAGATTTCTTTTCACTGTATTACAAATCACTAGTTTTGAATGTGTTAACTTATCCGGTGATAAAAGTTAAATGGTTAATCAGTTCTCTTTTTCTGTCTTTTGAACAGAACTGCAGAAATTGGTCAGATGATTAAAAAAAAACAGTACTCTAGATACTTTCTGAAGTTTGCATGGTTGGTTAGCATCTTTGATGAAGCATGGCTCTCTAACTGATCATAATGCCCCCACTAAAGTTTTAAATAGGATTATGTCACATATGTGCCAGGCTGTATTCCTAATTAAGAATCATACAATCTTTATAGCTGGAATAATCTTTTCCTTTATAAAAGGGTATGAGGTTATTGATTTATGTTCAACTTGTCATCCACCATAATCATACAGTTCATTTTCTTTTATATTTCCACCTCACTTTTGTTTTTTTCCATCATCCTTTGCTTGTGGAAGGTTAATCTTGTCCATGTAGAACATCACATTTATGAAATTGCAGCCTTTCTTTGTTAAGAACATTTTGGTAATTAAGATGATTCAGAGTTCTACTACTGTGCTGTGACATGTTTTCGGCCCCTCCTAGTTGTTGTGGGGTTTTTCTTGGTATTATTTCAAGTCATGCAGAACTAATTATATTAAAGTAGGTCATTTCTTTATTAATATGAAATCAGCACCAAGGATGTTTTTGTCCACCTTTTCCTCTTTCTTTACGTGGTTAAAATATGTTTCACTATTGCTCTTATTCAGAAAGATTGAAATATTGATGCTAAACAAAAAATTTCAGGAAAGTGAGGCCTCAGTTATGAGAATATGTTCCTGTAATTTACATACTGAGGTACTGTTCTTTTTTCAATTTTCAATACTGTATCATTTTTCAATATTCTTGCCAACATGCAGAAAACCCCAAGAAATAAAATGTGATCATCTTCACAGAATTATAGAAAGCCATAGGTTAGAAGGGACCTCAAAGAGTGGTGCGGTTGATATGGTGGAAGGAAGGGATGCCATTCAGAGGGACCTCGACAGGCTGGAGGGCTGGGCTCGGGTGAACCTAATGAGGTTCAACACGGCAAAGTGCAAGGTTTTGCATTTGAAGAACCCCAGGCACCCGTACAGGCTGGGAGGAGTGGTCCTTGAGAGCAGCTCGGCAGAGAAGGACCTCGGGGTCCTGATGGATGAGAGACTGAACATGAGCCAGCAGTGCGCTCTGGCAGCTCGAAAGGCAAATGGGATCCTGGGCTCCATCAGGAGAGGGGTGGTCAGTAGGGAGAGGGAGGTGATTGTCCCTCTCTACTCGGCTCTTGTGAGGCCCCATCTGGAGTACTGTGTCCAGGTGTGGAGCCCTCAGTACAAGAAAGACATGGAGATCTTGGAAAGAGTCCAGAAGAGGGCGACTAAGATGATCAGGGGGCTGGAGCACCTCCCCTGTGAGGACAGGCTGAGGGAGTTGGGCTTGTTCAGCCTGGAGAAGAGAAGGCTGCGGGGTGACCTCATTGCAGCCTATCAATACCTGAAGGGAACCTACACCCAGGAGGGGAGTAAACTCTTCAAAAGGGCTGACAATAGCAGGACTAGGGGAAAGGGATCCAAGTTGAGGGAGGGAAGATTTAGGTTGGATGTTAGGGGGAAGTTCTTCACAAGGAGAGTAGTTAGGCCCTGTAACGGGCTGCCCAGGGAGGTTGTGGATGCCCCGTCCTTGGACGTGTTCAAGGCCAGGTTGGACGGGGTCCTGGGCAACCTGATCTGAATGTGTATGTTTGGTGGCCCTGCTAGGCAGGGGGGTTGGAACTACATGATCCTTTAGGTCCCTTCCAACCCAGGTGATTCTGTGATTCTCTGTGATTATCTAGTTTGAACCACAGTGCCATTCACAGGGTTGCAAGCCACCAGATCTGGTGAGGTCTCATCTGGAGTACTGCGTCCAGTTCTGGGCTCCCCAGTACGAAAAAGACAGGGATCTCTTGCAAAGAGTCCAGCGGAGGGCCACAAAGATGGTGAAGGGCCTGGAGCATCTCTCCTATGAAGAAAGGCTGAGTGAACTGGGTCTGCTCAGCTTGGAGAAAAGAAGACTGAGAGGGGACCTCATCCAGGTCTATAAATATCTGAGGTGTGGGGGGCAGAATGGCGAGGCCGGACTGTTTTCAGTGGTGAGTGAAGACAGGACAAGGGGAAACGGCCGGAAACTGCAGCATAGGAAGTTCTGCACCAATGTGCGCAAGAACTTCTTTACAGTGAGGTGACGGAGCACTGGAACAGGCTGCCCAGGGAGGTGGTGGAGTCTCCCTGCCTGGATGCCTACCTGTGCGACCTGCTGTAGGGAACCTGCTTTGGCAGGGGGGTTGGACTCGATGATCTCTGGAGCTCCTTTCCAACCCCTACAATTCTGTGATTCTGTGAGATCAGGCTGCCTGGGTTCATACTGCACCTGGGCTTGAACTCCTCCAGGGATGATTGGGCATTCATAGCTTCTCTGGGCAGCCTGTGCCAGTGCTTCACCAGCCCCTGAGTAAAGAATTTCCACCTCTTTCAGTTTAAAACCATTCCCCTTGTAAAAAGGAGACTGTGTGAAAAGTCTATCTCCTTTTTGTCTTAGTTCCCCTTCCAGTAAGTGGATGGCCTCAATGAAGTCTCTTGGGAGACCTCTTGTCCAAGCTGAAAAAGGTCAGCGCCCTCAGCCTTTCTTGTAGGAGAGGTGCTCCACCCCTCTGATCATCTTAGTGGCCTCCTCTGGACTGCTCCAAGGGCTTCACATCTGCTTTATGCTGGGGGCTCTAAGCCTGGACGCAGCACCGCAGGTGGGGTCTCACTAGGGCAGTGTAGAGAGGGACAGTCTTCTCCCACTCCTGGCTGGCCATCTCTTTTTTGGTGCACTCCTGGATACCGTTGACCTGTCTGGGCTGCGAGAGCACACTGCTGGCATAATTCCAACTTCTCATCTTCCAGGATCTCCAAATCCTCCTTTGTAAGTGTAGTTCTATCTGTGCTTGGCTTTTCTAATTCCATCACTGCACGTCTGAACAGCATCCTTGTATTCCTCCCAAACCACCCATTTCTGCTTCCTGTACATGTCCTTCTTATCCCTCAGTTTCTTGCTCAGCCATGTCCATTTCCTACCTCCTCTGCCTGACTGCTTGTGCTGGGAGACAGAGAACTCTTGTGGTTTCAGAAAGTTTTCCTAAGAGAACTGCCTGCGCTGTTCTGTTCCTGTGTCACTAACAACAGTTTCCAGATCTCATTGACATTGAACAATTTGTTAAACATTCAGGATTTTTCTCTCCTGAAGTTCAAGGTCCTGGCTCTGCTCTTTGCCAGGCCTATAATCCCTAAGATTGTGAACTTGACCAGGCAGGCCATGTTCACTACAGCCCAAGTGCCTGCTGCCCTAAACTCTTTAATGAGCTCATCTGCATTGATGAGCACCTGGTCCATTCACTGCTGGTTGGTCTGTCCAACACGTGGGTCAGGAAGTTTCCTCCACGCACTTCAGGAGTCTCCTGGAATGCCTGCATCGTCCATCGTCCTGTTTCCCCAGCAGACATCTGGGTGGTTGAAATCCCCCATCAAGATGAGAGCCTGAGTGCAATGCCGTTTGTTAGAAGAAGGCCTTGTCATTGGGCTCCCCTTAGTCAGGCAACTTTAGATACCTCAACTACCTGATGTCCTATATTGGTCTGTCTCATTCTCCGAAGGTATTCAAACCCCTGGTCACTTTCCTGTGTAACCTGCTCTAGCAAACTTAGTTTAGCAAGAGGATTAGACTAACTGAACTCCACAGGCCCCACCCAGCCTCTGTGATTCAGTGATACTGTGTCAATGCTTGCTTTTAAACCATGTATTATAGATACTAACTTGGTGTAATAAATGAACCTGTTTGTATGTATGTAAAATTTACCAATGTTATTATAGTTTGTGGTTGCAAATTGTTTATGTAAAGATGAACTCACTCTTGTAAATGGGAAGCTGCCTCATTCCAGAAACAGAAATACGTGATTTATTCAAGAGTTAGTTATTACCCACTTACACAAATCATGGCATTGCACAAAAGTTTTGTGAAGTATTTAACTGATCAGCATTTCTTGCCACTTATTTACTCATTCTGTAGAAGAGACTTTTCAAGCAGCAGTTGTGTATTCTTTTGAAAGCTTAAAATAATGGGCTTGGCTTTGTTTCTCTTGATTTTGTTTACATTATAAGGTTTGACTGTAAGATAAAGCAACTTTTTTAATTTGGTTGTAATTTCTATTTTTTCAATTCTTAGTGCTGTTTGCTAAATATTACAGTATAAACTGAACACTTTTGAAAATTCACATTTTATAGACATCATCTTGTGTCTCTACAGGAGATTTGTATTGCAAAGCATAATGAAAAGATCCAGCAGCATCACCAGAGTGAAGAGGAGTACAAAATGCACCACACTGTTCAGCTAGTAAGTTTGAGCTTTCTGCTGTTCAGCAGGCATTTAGATGATAATTTCCATTGCTCGATATACATTCATTAGTAGAATATCAAATCAGATGTCTATTTCATATTATGCTGGTAAGGAAGAACATATAGCTCTATTAGGATGACACTGAATCCAATCAGATAAAAAAATTCACAGTCTAAATGATTACTGCTAGAGTTAGACTGCATGCAGAATTTCTGACGTATTTCTGAATCTTGCTCCACATTTCTCTCTGTATTCTTGTAACACAGAATAGGCTACTTAGTCCAACTGTTGTGTTGTACATAACAGACTTTTTTAAAGACTATTCGAACTATAGGCGAGGTCTTTAATGCTGTTGTAATATCCGTATTTAATAAAGATCACTGACAAAGATGTGTTGAAGTCTAAAGCCTTTTAATTCAGACTTCAGTTAGATTATTAAAAATGATTCTCAGTTATCCTTCTACATTTTTAACACTGATACATTTATCCAGGAAGTCAGCTGCATAATTTATATTATGAAAAGACTACGCTTACCAGAATACTCTTTCAGGAGCTTGGAAGAATACGTATTTTATTTTATTTCTTAAAATAAAGCAAATAATTCTCCTATCTTGATTACAGTCCATTTATCACTCTTAAATATAAAAGGCTTGATGGCATGGTCAGCAGGTTGAGGGAGGTGGTCCTGCTCTTCTACTTTGCACTAGTGAGATCTCCCCTGACTACCAAATCCAGGTGGAGTCCTCATTACAGGAGAGGCATGAGTCTGCTGTGTGTCCAGAAGAAAAAACAGTTCAAGGGATGGAACACGTCCCTTGTGAGTATGAGCTGGGAGACCTGGGGCTGATCAGCCTGGAGAAGAGAAGGCTCCAAGGAGACCTGATAGTGGACTTTTGGCATCTAAAGCTGTTGGCTTTAAAAAAGGAGACAGATTCTTCAGTGGTGCATTTTGTGATAGGTCAAGTGGAAAAAGTTTTAAATTAAAAGAGGAGAGATTTAGATTGGGTATGAAGAAGAAACTTGTAACAGTAAGGATGGTGAGACACTGGAGCAGGTTGTCCAGAGAGGTGGTAGAAGCCCTGTCCTTGGAGTCATTCAGAGTCAGGCTGAATGGGGCTCTGAGCAACATAATGTAGCTGTAAGTGATCCTGTTCATTGCAGGGGGTTTGGACTAGATGACCTTTAAAGGCCCCTTCCAACTCAACAGGTTCCATGATCCTGTGATTTTCTTGTCTGTTAAATACTAAGGGCTTTTTTATTATTTATTTCAAGGGTTTGCTAACTTAGATTATAAAGACATGCCCTAACCTGACTGAGAAATATCCACTATTGTTGCAAAATAGGTTTTTATGCAGACACAAACACACTCTCTGGTTATTTAAAACATAGGTGTGGTGGTAGAACTGTACTTTCTTCTTGCTTTAATCTTCTCTTTGTACTCTTGTAATTTCTTTTCCACCTTACTCAATTATTTTCTTTTATTGCTTTCTTCTTTTTCTGTCTCCTGTTTTAACAATTTTCTATGCATGTTCTCCTCTCCAATGCATCTACCAATACATATCTCATTAGAAAATACAGGAGCTGGCTCTTGGAAAGGACAACTAGCTAAATAATGAAAGTGGCAGCTAGTCTGACTCTGCCTTTTTGTTGATTGAATAAGGATAAAAGTTCATGAAGGCGATAACCTTAACTTTTAACAATATCTATCAGCTTTTTTTTTGTTATATTTGATGCCGTAAGTCTTTTAAGAATTAAGGCCGCCATTATTGCTTATAAGGTTTTTCTTTGTAGCCCTTTGTTCTGTGACATCTTCTTCTTCTTCTGTACTTACACCAACGAGTGACTTTTGCCGTTTGATACTGAGTATCAATTTTGAATAAATTTGACTGCAGTGTTTTGTTTCAAAGAATAAATAACTGAAAGAAAGTGGTTAACTAGTTAATAGAAAGGGATCCAAATGTGTGTTTCTTCTAAGATCCCCAAACAACAAAAAAATATTACTGTCTTAGCTGTGAGGAAGAGCTTCAAACCTTTTCTTAAAAAAGATTATAGAAAGTCAAGCTAGATTAAATATGTCACTTCGAGATAATAAAATCCAAAACTTTAGTTTAATATTCTTGTTAAATATGCTTTTTATCTAATCTTTCAAGGCAAAAACTTCCAGTCCCAGTGTTCCAGTTCCACACTGAAATCTTTTTACCAAGCCTTGCATTTTGTCACAGTTACAAAATAGGAAATCTGCTCTGTTATTTGAGGGGATAGCAAAGTTTTGAAATTCTCAAATATGTTTATTTGAAAAATAGAACATTAAATAATTCATTACAGTTATTAGAAGAGTTATTTAAATGCAGTATTTTTATGATTAAAACATATGATTAAACATATGTTTAACATATGGTTAAACATAGCTTTAGATGTAACATTTATGTTTTCCATGTATGTTCTCAGAAGAGAGATCAGCTACAAGATGAAGAGGAAAAAAAGAGCTCCTGGGTTAGTCAGGAACGACAGAAAACACTGGACAGACTTCGCACATTTAAACAGGTAACAGAAGACTTGTTCAACTTTCATGCTTTTTTTTTTTCTTTTTTCTTTTTGTCAAAAGGAATTTTCAGTCCTCCCCAGACCAGACTATACTATTTCTATACTATTTGTTAATTTTTTCTACTGTGTAATTAATTACTCTTTGGAAAATTTATCATGAATTATGGCACTGGTAGTAGCAAATCTCTCTCATTGTTATGTTATCAGTGCCATAATAAGCTTCTGTTGTACATCTACACATTGTGGCAAGACATTTAACAGGCTTTCTTAGAAATGTAATCCAAATGGTATTTCCTGCAAGGAGCATTGCCATCTGATAAAGCTTCACCACCACTGACTTCAAAACATCTGTCAATACCTGTCCCTTTCCGTTACAGTGTTAGTGTCATGTAATCAATAGAAGATTGCATAAAAGGTAGAGAACAAGGAGAGGGATTAAGATGCATTAAAATGAAGATTGTATTAATTGGTAGACTATAAAAATAGACATGAGAAAGTTATTGGAAAACTGTCTTCCTCTGCAGTACGCTCTTGATATCCTTGTTTTTTGCAAGGCTTTTTAATAATATGCATTCTGTAAATTAAAGCAAATTTACTTATGTTAACCAGCACTTCATAATGACCTGACACAATGTCACAATTTTTGAAAAATATTTTATACCTTGCTTTCAAAACCAGTTTATACTCTTGTGAAAAAATGTCCATGGATGAATCAAATTTGAAAAGACATATTGAGAAAATAAATTCAAGAACTAAATTTAAAAACAGTGGAAATTTTCAGAATGTTTGATATCTATTAAAGGTAACTTTTTGAATGGTGTGATTCACATCTAAAGTCAGTGTTTTAGGCTGGAGAGGACTTTTTTGTGGGGAGAGCTTTAACCAGCTTCAGGGAAGAGAAGCAAGAAGGAATTATCAATTTTCAGAAAAAAACACTTCTGAATGTACTTAGTGAAATCCTAATTCTAACTTGTGTATCCCTAGACCGGTCGTGTATAATTTATGGCTTAACTAAGAATTGAAATTAGAAAAATGGATTATGTGTGCATAAAGGTTTTCATATATTTGCTTTGGTTTTATGCGTAGAGCAAAATGAATGAAAACAATAGTTGAATTCTACTGGTTGGAAAAGTGAGCTCTAATGACAAGCATTCAGTATCTAAAATAGTCTTTTATATATGCTTACCTAACTGTAATTAACTTTTATACTCCAGCGGTACCCTGGCCAAGTAATACTTAAATCAACCAGACTACGACTGGCTCATGCAAGAAGAAAATGTGCAGCCAGCTCAGCACCCTCTGTAGATCAGCCTCAATCTTTGCCAGCAACCATACAAATCCAAGAGAAAAGTGAAGAGGTGGAATTGGAAAATGCAGTTCAGCCTTTGCAAGTGCAGGAATCCACGAGCTCGGAACAACTTCAGGATATCTCGTTACCTCCCAGCAGTGTTACGTCTGAATCGCCTCAAGTTAGTCCTGCTCCACTCACCAATACTGAGCTACAAACAGAGACTGTTAGTGTAGTACCACTTCCACCCCCTTTGCCTCCACCACCTCTGCCTCCACCTCCACCTCTGCCCTCCAAGGAAGATACCACCAAATCCTTGGAGAAAAGCGGCAGCTTTGTCAAACGCCAGAGTGAAGAGAAGGGAGTCCAGCACTCTTCCAGTGTCCCAGCAGCATATCTGTTTGACAGCAGTCAACTAGTCAGTGCCAAGAAGAAGCTTAAGAAGACAGGTGATCTTGAGGGTTTACAGAGAAGGAGAGGTAACGTTTGCATTCTTCTGCATTTAACTGCAGTGTACATCCTTTCCTCTGCTGTACTGAGCAGAGGAATATATAGGGAAGTCTGTGCTGTGATTTAGGTATAATCATTAATGACTTGAAGAATGTTGGCAACTGTTGGCAAACAAATTGTAGGATCCTTATGACAGCATATTACATGTATGTTGAATTAAACAGAAAACAACTTGTGAAACTGATTATCTGATACACTATATCAAATCAGCTAGAAGTTGCCTTAAAGAACTCTTTCTTTTCTTGCTTGCAGCTAGCTTCACCTGAGGGTGCAATGTTGTGGGGTTTTTTGTTTTTTGTTTTTTTCAAAACAGAATTTGACAAATTTTAAGATCTAATAAAACAACTATTGTCTTGGGACATAGGAAACCTTGAGAATGTTTTCTTCAAGGTTTCTTGAAATTTTCATAGAAAAATCCACAACTCCTTAAATCATCTTGAGAGCCGAGTAAGAATATACACATTTAACTACAGTTGAGAATTAAATTTATAATAAATCAACCAAGCATGTGACTTCATTAGAAACTTCATCGGTAAGTAAGTAGGACTCAGGGCTGAGTTGGTGGATTTGTTACAACTTCACTGAGTAATTGCTATCTGCTTTTATCTTTATATCGTATAAAAAATGGGGAGGTGGCAGCCACATTTGAACAGAAAAATTTTTAAATAAAATGTGCTGTATTAGAGTGGGGTCTTTTTATGAAAATTGGATATAGAATTTTCAAAAGCACTGAACTATTGTGCTGAATGTTGTTGAGGAACAGTACCTGAGGTGGGCCTTGATTTGCAGTACCGTAACATGACTTTTCATTAGAATTCTATTTGGGTGTGTTACAACTGCAGGAAACATTCCTCAGTTGACGATTTTCCTCATGCATATAGAATTTGAGCTGTTTGTGCCTATCAGGCAGAAACAAGAGTGTTTCTCTTTAGTGCTCCTTAACTGATTGAATTATCTTGAAACAGCTGAATAGTTACAGATTCTTAAGATGTTATGAGTCTAGTCATAAGTATAGTGTCTTAAGTTCATTATAAATACTGATGCTCTATTTTCATATGTTTTCTAATACTGCTTTGTTTCCATTCATATAAAACATATATTGTAAGTGCAACTTTATATACATCATAAAATGACAAATAGAAAATCAAATACTCTTTAAGAGTGTCATGAATGTTAGCAGCTGTACACTACCTGCTACTCTGTGGATTTCAAAAGAAAGATGTTCCAAATCTCTGTGCAGCTTCAGTGACGTCAGCCTACAACAGATGAGTGCCTAACAGTCTTTGCTTTCTCCTTCAAATATGCAATCCTTTATCTTCTGTCTTTTCCTCACATATTTTCCAGTTGAGCCATTAGTGATCTGGGCAAGGTCCACTCGTAAATACAAAGGAGGTTTTAGAAAGGAAAGAGTTAGAGCTGGATATTCATCTGTTGATTGATATGTGCTAGTGTTTGCTAACTAGTTTGTACTGTTTATTGTATCACGTTCTCTACATAGAAGTCCTACCTACTTGTAGCTCTTAAGAGAGCCAAAGCCCAATTTTTATTTCTGCAAAGAATTAGCTTCAGATTGATTGTAAAGAAAGGATGTGTGATAAAGTGTATACTCTTAATTATGAAGGAAAGTAATTTGTACAGGCACGTTGCAACTAGGTGCTTGTACGTTTCTTAATCCAAAGGAGGAGGGAAATGCACCCTGTGGCTGTACTGCTTCCCTCACTTGTATGCATTAGTACTTACACAGTAGGTAAAATTGGCCACAGAATGTAAGCGCAGAAAATGTAGATTCTCCTCTGTGCGTGCATCCCTGTTGCTGAACAGTCCAGTACCTGTTCACTACATAAGTTTCCAAGTCAAGAAATACAAAGTAATGTGCACTTTCATTATGTCTTACTCATTGCAGATATTTTGATTTTCCTGACTTGTAATAGGAAAGCCATCTTCAATAAATTTTTCTACTTACCTATTACAAAATTTGTTCATTTCAGAAGTTATAAACTAGTATAAACTAGTATAATCTAGTATAATCTAGTTTTGATCTAGTAACAGGAAAGATAAATTTGGAAGCTAATACAAAAATGGAGCTGCAGAATGATGAAATTGAAACTGCAGTCTCCTTTATACTTATACTGTCAGATAATAACTTTAATTGCATATGGCTGCTTTTGATTGTGTAGGAAATGTAAATAGCCACTGAATAAATTTAGTAAAAATGGTACTGAAGGTATTTTGATTTTACTGCAGTGAGTTCCCCGATGGATGAAGTGCTGGCTTCTTTGAAGCGTGGGAGCTTTCACTTAAGAAAAGTGGAGCAGAGAAGTCTCCCTCCTTTTCCTGATGAAGATGATAGCAATAACATCCTGGCGCAGATCAGGAAAGGGGTGAAACTGAAGAAAGTGCAGAAAGACGTGTTGAGAGAATCCTTTACAATTCTGCCTGATACTGACCCTCTGACAAGGAGCATCCATGAAGCGTTACGACGAATTAAAGAAGCATCACCTGAATCAGAGGATGAAGAGGAGAGTTTGCCTTGCACAGACTGGGAAAATTAACGTGTAATTAAATCAATTTAAAATACACACATATTTCTTCAACACTTTTTTATAACAACAGCTGCTAAGCTTCAGGTCATGCGTTGTAGGATACGTAGTATGAAAGTGACTAAACTGTGTGATGTCCAGTGTGAGAAAATATGCACACAGAAATTTAGTATCACTGACTTTTTTAAGCAAATTAGGGTTTCTATTAAGTAAAAGTTTTTTGAGACAACATCTTAGTCTATTATTGTTCTAATACTTTTGCTGAATAGTGACAGGACAGCTGCTATAAAAATCCTTGTTTCATTTAGGAAATTTGAAGGGAGTGTTTGCAACTTTTAAGTAGCAAAGCAAAAGCAGCACAATCACTCTTGGCCATATGCTATTATTATTTTCTAATTACTTCTGGCCTTGTAAAAAATGTAGGATCTACCACTTCCAACTGAATAGCTCCAAGTCAAGGATCATAGATTTGACTGCTGAGCACACTGAAATCTCATTGGCTACTCTGTGTGACTCTTTGATAGCTTGGTTTCAATCTGTGAACACTCTGAATTTCTAGACTATAAGCAGTAAATATACACACACATAAAAAATACAATTTATACTTCTTCTCCTTACAGAAATCCCGTGAACTTACTTAATACGAAGCTACAGTGCCTGATAGTACTTATCTTAGGCTTCAACAGATGAAGTTATATAGAACTAAACAGGGATTGGCATTAGATTCTAAAATTAAGGCTGTATTAGTCTTATTTTTTTTATTACAACAGCAGCATACAACACTGGTCTTCTGTGGTGGTTCCTTTCTGTTACTGACATGTGGTTGAGCTGTCTGAATAGAGACAGTCTGAATAAAAGGTCCCCCTAAATTTATTTGTGATTATTTAGAATCTGGAGAGAAGAGAGATGACAACCTCTGAACAAAAATTATAAATCTGTTTAAAAATCAAAGGCTATTTCAAGAGTAGGTAAATGTTTCTTATCCTTGCAACACAGCTAGCAGGATAACCTTTTTTGATGCTTTCCATCAAGCAGTTCTGTGCTGGTTAGTTTTTGTCAGTTGTCACTCTTCAGCTACAGTAAAGTGCTACAGCTGTTTAAAGTGTGTTGGTGGTATAGTGCATCACCTGCTGAACTGCACATTGATATGCTATTTTCAAATAACTATATTTAAAACTTTCAGAAAGGAAAGTAAATTTTGCATTTATTTCCCCATGGAAGATGTCAGGGAGAAGTTCTTTGCTATGAGAATGGTGAGGTACTGACACAGGCTGACCAGAGATGCTGTGGATGCTCCATCCCTGGAGGTGTTCAAGGCCAGATTGGATGGGGCCCTGGGCAGCCTGGTCAAGTATTAGGTATAGAGGTTGGTGGCCCTGCATGTGGCGGGGGGTTGGAGATTCATGATCCTTGAGATCCCTTCCAACCTGGGCCATTTTGTGATTCTATGGACAAGTATAATAAACTCTTGCTGAAACTGAAAGTTCATTCATATTATTTTGCATTCTGAAAACTCTCACAGACCGTTAGAAAGCAAGTCATAGGTGTAAGAAAAGGCTTGCTTTGGAATTGGCTTGATTTTCTCAGTGCAGTTATTTTCTTCGTTTCCCAGATCACTTAGCAAGAGTATTATTTAACACTAAAGAGCATTTATATATATATATATATACACACACACAGACACATATTTGAAGTCACTTCTGGATTTATACATGTATGCATCCAGAAGTGACTTTGAATGTTCTTGATCCAATTGCTGGACTCCCTAAACACTTTCCATTGAAACTGCATCCTTACAGAAGTCTTACAAGTACATTGTTGTACTATATAAATCAACATTTTTCTTGTTACCTTTTACAGCCCTCTAGATGCATTTCAGAGTGTTGATTGAAAATCGCTGCTATGCAGTACCTGTAGTGCACCAATTCACGTCACCTTTTAAAGCAGTACTGAACTGAAGTATCCTGTCAGTTTGCAGCTGTGGCCATTTCCCATTTTAAGGATGCACTTCAGACAAACATTGAGATCCTGTGAAATCAGTTGAACCTAAAGCAGGGTGCAGTGAGTGTGTACTACTTGGAGTTTTTCACCCATCCAGAACCTGCTTTCTCTTACTAGTGTCTTACTCTATTAAGAAAACAATCCTTTTCTCATGAGATGAGACTTAGATTTCATTGAAGAATGGTTGTGCAAACTTGCTAACAGAGCAGAAATTAAAAACTGGCCCATGCTATCAAAATATGTGAAATAATCTGCTAGAACAGAAAGACTGAAACAAAGTCATGTTGAAATTCAGCAGAATAAATACTTTTTCCATAGGTGAGTGCTTGAACATATAGCCTGGTTACAGAAGTGTAGTAGAGAAGAAAAAGAACTCAAAGAATAGTATTTTGTTTTTACTACCATAAGTTACTGTTGATATCAGTTTGATACTATGCTTTATTAAAAAAGAATTGATATACTGATTTTCATCTGTAAGATCTGCATATCCAAAGCCAGTTGCATAGGAATATTAGATTCAAAACAGTTTTACAAAAGAATTTTGTCAGCTGCATTTCAAATTTTGCTTAGTATGCATGCATCCTTATAGACTAAATGTAATGTGATTATTTGCCTTAAGAATAGAAGCTAAATCTATATGTTTATCAGATGCCAAAAAGTGTCTTAGAATATGCATAGTAGATGAAAAAATATTATTGTACACCAATTTTCTTAATTAGTGACGTTTGAAGACAATCATAATTAATTTCTGCGGGAGACGTAGCCATATCTTGTATTAGGTACTGTGTGAGTTAAATTCTGTCTAAAACTGTGATTCCCCTTTTTTAAGAGCAGTGGCTTTCACACCTCACTCTAAGCCACATACAGTAATGCTGAGGCATTCCATGTATCTGAGGTACAGCTGAACAAGCAGCGTAAAGATGCAATGGATTCTGTGTGGGGAAAAAATGGAACAAGATTTTTATTTATCAGAAGTATCTCAAGCTTTTATAGTACACAGGTGGCCATGCTACATTCAGAGTACTGTAAGCAGTTGCAAAGTGTGGGTTTCTGGGAATGATGGACAGAGTAACTGGATGAAGAAGTCATCTGTTCTCTACAGCCTTTTAATCCAGGGCTTCTCCAAGCTCAGATCGGTGTTCAATGCAAAAATACCAGAAGGAAAAGGAGACTTTGTTATACTGTGTGTTAAGGTATCATTAGCTTGGGAGCAATGTTGCCCTGGGAACAGAGAATCGGGGCTTTTTCTAGACACGTACCAGATTTGCATGTTGGACTTGCCTAATGTGTTGATAAGAGGACTTGTAAAGCTCTTTAGCTTTTCAGATGTTCCTTTTTTTTTTTTTTTCCCGAACAGGTGATATACAGCCCTTGAAGTGAGACAAGAAATCCCAGTTGAAGATCACTTTTCCTCTTCATTTTGAAAATTCAGAGCCAGCAGTTTTGACCATCAGTTCCACAGGCGGCTTTCTTTCACAAAGAAATAGTGTTTCTTTGGGCAAATGATTCAGCATCTGGAAAAAATGGCTTGAAATGTAAATTTTTCAGGTCCCTTTTTTCATTAATTGTTCTAAAAATTTTGGTTTGAGTAGAAAGTTAAGTTGTTTTGACGTGCATTTTATATAATCAAGAATGCCTGACTCTTCAGCACTTTCATATCTGTGTTAGTAGTGTGTGGCCAGTTAAGTGGAGAGAGCATTTTGAGCTGGGAGAATACTTGCTGTTAAAGGAACTAGTGATCTGGCTGAAACAACAGAGCAGATATAAAATCTACCCTTCACAGCACTGAATATATCATCTGCTTGAAAACCAGCTAAGTAGGTCCTCGCAGGAAAGCTAGCAGTGATGTTACAGAAAGAGCAGAATTCCGTGTTGCACTGCAGTAGCTGAAATTCAGTAATGTGCAACTATTACTTTTTTCTTCTTAGTTTGAAGAAGTGTTTGTCAGTATGAAAAACAGTAAGTGACTACAGCATAATGAGAAATAGGAGCTGACTTCAGTACATATTTAAGAATGTGTTTCCAGCAAGGTACATTTATAGCAAGACATACTGGCAGCACCTTTTTAGAAGATCATTTGTAATCTTAAACTTTTCTAACATAGACATTTTCATGCTTTTTTAAAATAATATTCAGCTGTGTTTAACCAAGTATACTTTATCATTTGTTGTAAGAAGCAATATTTTGTAATTTCATACTTAAAATTATTTTTGTTTGGTTTTAAAGGTTTTATTTGAATACTGTTTGCAGCCTTCTTTTAAAAAGATCAAAGCACTTAAGCGTAATTGACACTTCAGTTTTGAAAATATGCTTCTCTTGCTTTTTGTTTTAGTTATTCTCTTCAATGGCTGCAGAAGTATTTGTATTTTATACCCAAAGGCCTGCTGGCTGAAAAAAAAAAAAAAAGGTTTCCTTTTGTTAATGACTTTTTGTTTTAAAAGGAAAAAAGTTACAACTTCCTCTGCAGTGAATGCTTAGAATTAATCCTAAGCTTCGTGGCTGATGGCTGCAGACAGCTGCACTGAGAACGTGTGTCACTAGGGTAAGAGGTATCAGGAGAGAGAGAATCTTGGAACATCCAGAAGCTCCATGTGATATTACATTCAGCCTGTTAAAATGTTAAGGAAGCTAAATTCTCACCAGCATTTTATGTTTATCGATGTGACTTACTCTGCGTTGAAAGTCTGCGGTCTGTGTCCCTGTGTAGTACGTCCCATTCACCATTCCTCTTGTAAAATAACCAAGTATTATGGGGATAGTGTTTTTTTAGAGTGGAGTTATGCTTTGCTGCTGTCATACAACAGAACACGTACTGTGTCACTGTTCCTGACAGGAGATTGCATGTGTTCCTATTTTGTAAATAGGAACAGAAGCACACTCCTTAGTAACAGGTTATGTGCAGGAACCTCAGAGGTCAGACCATTCAGCTGTTCTGCTTTGGCTGTCCTGAAATTAAAACTCAATTGGACATCTCAGAAGGATGTCACAGTACCCTTGCTATTGACAGGCATTTTCTTAACCTTGTTGCCTTATTTACAGTAAGTGAACAGCCATTCTTAAAGCACCCATGAGTAGTGTAATTTCAGAGTGTGTTGATTTTTGCTGCATGTATTAGTGGTCAGATTATATGCTTCTCTCCTGAGATCAGTTCTATGGCATACTTGATACTGACTTTCCAAGAACCTAAAGCTGCAAGGCATATTTTCCTTAAATTGCTTTTCTGAATTCAGTTAATGATGTGGTTGTAAGCAAACACTGTGCTCATGCAACAATAACAGTGATTTCAAAGTTAATCATTAGATGTGGCCTGTACTGTGAGTGGTGCATTTTTACTCTGCGTTTATCATCACTTCCAGTCACACTGCGCTTTGAAACTGAGTTAATCAAATTTTTGACCACAGCACAAAGCAGAATTTGTTGCAGAATGGTAATTCAGGTTATACAGTTCATCTGAATCTTAGCACTGTATAAATAGTGGTGATTGAGCAACTATGTCGGGTTTTGCTATTTTCCAGCTTACATTTTCATTCCTTACAGTATGCTTATGGGACTCTAGCAAAATTTGAGGTCAAGAGAAAATATCATAATTCTAAAATATAGGTACAGTGGTCCCTTTGCACAGAGTTTGTGTCTACGGTTTATGGTTGTGTTGTGATAAATATAGGTAGCTCAGTGCTTTACTGCAGATTTCAGATTTATTTGCCATGTGGTCTGTCAACTTTGCCTTGAATGTGTGCATGATTGAGAAAAATTACTGTCCTTAATCTGGTTTATATTTAGTTGAAATCTTAGGTTTCCTGTAATAGCTTAGTTTATAGAAATGGATTTCTCATGGGAGCAAGTGTTTTATGTGCACACAAAGAGTAGTTGTTGTGCTGAGCATAGCAGCTTATATCAGTTCAGAACGGCCATCTTCCAGATGGAATGAAAATGGCATTTTCCTTCACATACTGCTGAAAAAAAGAAAACCAAAAAACAGAAAACCACCAAATCCTAGGTTTTAATCTTAAACAAGTCACTAGATGTCACAATTTCACATCCCTACTGTGATACAGAAATTGTGCTTACGTAGTGTGCAAACTAATGCATCAGTCTTCCATCCTTCTCTGCAACGTGACAGTTTGCAGTGGGGGTGGGAGCAGCAAACAGGGAGAGCGTGGTCACAAGAACCTTACAGAACTTCTGACAATCCTGCAGATTTGGCTCTTTCATAGCTGATAGAAGCTCTAACGAATGTGTTGGTCCTTGAGAAACCATGGCAAGCATCACTACAGGAAAATCATTTAGACGTGTGCAAGGAAGGAGAACCTCCATGAAAAAGGCCTTTCTACGTATCACTGATGTTTTTCCTTTCTGGCTGGACTTCACTGTGGTGATTGCATCCATCTGTTGCTTGTTTATCTTAAGCAGTCTGTCAACTCTCATGCTTTTTCCATCTTTAGGAACTTGCTTTCATGGTTGTGGTTAAAATTGTTTTAAATGGTATGACTGATCCGTCGTGGTAAGGAGTTGGAGGTATGTTTATTGTGCAAATGCTTTTCTAAGGACTGAAGCATCTGTGAGTGAGAACAAGAAATGAAAAACGAAACTTGTAGGTAACCAAAACATCGGACAAACAGGAAGCCTTTCATCAGAAACTGCATCTGCATCAACGTGAATTTCATCCTCTCATTCACAGAGGTCCCAGATCCCTTAAAAACGACCAATATATTCTTAGTGCGTTCGCTTTCTTTTCACGTTGTAGTTACCTTGCTTAAGCATCACTTCTAAGGTTTTCTAAAAAAAATCTGACAGTCTGCGTCCTAAACCAGGCATCTGTAAAATAACTTAGTGTTATTATATATTGTGGTTTTTTTGTGGCTGCATTGGGGATAGAACTCAACTTCACTATGTTATTTGTAAAGAATCATTTTGATATATAAGCACTATATTCTGTAATGTCTAATATTAAGTAATGACAGATGTGTTGTTGAAATGCAACTTACTGAGAGGAGGAAGCAGAAACTGTCATTGGTCAATGTTCCCCTCACTTGTTTGTTGCACTGAACTTCAAGGGTGTAATTTGTAAATCAATTTTCTTCTCATGTGTAATCAGATTTTATTTTCATTTTAATGCTTATGTAATTTACTTACCTGTGTATATTTCTGGTAATGATTCCATAAGCATGGACAGTATACTGTTATGTTTAGCACTACAGAATTAACGTTAAGAACAAACAAAGCTTATTGCTAAGGAGCAAACGGAGCACCTTACTGGGAGAGCGCACTGCGATTGTAGTGCTGTGGGGCTGACAGACAGGAGGTCGTTCCAGACTTGACTGCAAATTGCTCTTCAGTGTAGTAAGCACATTGACACACTGCTGCCAGTGCTGTAAGAAGCCCAGCAGTGGCTGTTTTTAACCTATAAATATACTGTAATTTAAAATTTTCCTATAAAATGAGTTTATATTTAATTGCTGCCTAATACATGTACTTAAAATTAGGATTTTTAGCAGGGCTGAGGGTGGGTGGGCATGCCGGTGTATTTCTGGGCTGTTGTATATACGTTTCTTTGCACTTCCCATTCAGTTTAACTGTTAACCCAAACCCAGCTCTGACTGTGACATTTATGGACTTTATTGTGATGGAGGTCCACCTTCTGTGGCCCCGAGCTTCAGCATTTGACAGAAAAGGTCTTTCCATTCAAATGTGAATACCCTGATGTACCTCTAACGTGGAAATGACCAGGCAATGAATTTTACTCTGCTGAATTCAAGATGACTGTAGAGTATTATTTAAAGCCAGTATCTGAAGCTGTTAACCAGCATTTGGAAAGAGTCAGAGGGACGATTGCCTTTTGTGAGTGCAGCCCTAACTCTGCAGCGCTGTCACTGCAGAGATTGTTACCTGTTCCGTACTGTTCTGCCTTAGGTGGCTTTGACTTTCAGATCCTTTCAGGAGCACTTTTGATTTCTGAGTTGCGGAACAGGTGTTGGGGATCAGGGACACTCACTCAACATCTTCCAGTGTGTTACTGTGCTTGCTGTATGTGTTGGATTTAGTCTTACGTATTTACAGATACATCATCATGAGATTAAAGGAATTCAGATGACTGCAGATTGTCTCGCATGAATGACATCAGTAAAGGTTAATGATGTTAACTTCTTCTTTTAAAACCTGTTGAATAAATGAGAAATAATCAAAACCAGTTTGCCATTCACTAGCTTTGTGCAATATTACTGGCAGAATTGAACACTAGTGTTTGGCAGTAAGGAAGTCCTTTAACACCGTTGTATTCAAAGAAGACATATTAAATGCGTATTTTATTGTAAACAACTCTGCAGACTTGCTATACCTAAAAATGCTCAAGGCTATGAAGTATTAGGCAACAAGTATCTCCTAAAATAAAAAAGGTAAACTAAGCAAACATTTCCAGCAATACCTAAAAACTAAAAACACTGTAACTGTATGCCTTTTGCTCTCTTTTTCTTTAGTGCAGTTTCCCTGCCATGCAAGTTTATTGCTGTGTATTTCATGTTTTTAGTATCGTGACTCAGAAGTTTAAACCTGTACACCAAGTACTGAGCTCACCTTCTTGTACATGCGATGTAACATCATACTCACAGTTTTGGTGCTTAAAAATGATTCCTTTTTTCTTTATTAAAGGATATTTATTTGACCACTGTTTCATTTGAGTACATAGCGATGTTGAAAATATAAAAACAGTGCAGTTTGGTTCCTACCAAAAAATGTTCATCCATTGTTAAGTTTCTGTTGCTACTCTTTCAGTTCCTCAAACTGCCCAACTGCCACTAATGGCAGGTAGTGAGGCCTGAGCTGAACTGCTGCAGGGAATAATTGTACCCGTGTAGAATCTTTCTAAACTGCTGCATAAATAAATCAGGTATTGTGGGAGAACCTTGCTCTTCAGTAGTGCAGGGTAATTGAGCTTAAGTGCAAACAGAAAACTAGTTACCATCACTTAATGAAAAGACAAAAAATCTGTACGAAATGAGCAGATGTTTAAATTCAGGAGCACGGATTGCTCAGATCCATTGCTACACTCCTGCACCTGAGCTCACCAGTGGCAATGCCGTTGTGCAGGGGCAGAGTGGCCTCCAGCTGTGCTACATATAGAAAGGCAAGGGGGTGGTGTGGTGGGAGACAGCAGGGCTGGAAGCATCTGGCTTCACTTTTTTTTTTTTTTTTTTGTACAGGCAAGTTGTAATTTGAATGGCCTCACATGGCAGCAGGGGAGGTTAGGCTGGATATTAGGAAGAATTTCTTCTCAGGAGTGGTGATGCATTGGCATGGGTAGCCCAGGCAGCTGCTGGAGTCACCGTCCCTGCAGGTGTTTCAGAAGAGGGCAGAAGTTCTTAGGGACGTGGATTAGTGGGCAGTATGCGTGGAAGATGGGCAGTTGGGTGAGATGATTGTAGAGGTCTGTTCCAACCTGCATCCTGCTCTGCAGCGCTGTGCCTAGGGGTGTTTGTTGCCATCAGCAGTGTCTGCCTTGTTATCGCAGGGAGCAGATCAGAGGCTGCTTTTCATTAACTTGTAAGGGTATTCCTGTGGGCTGGAAGTAGATCTAGTGCATACATCGGATCTACAAATCAGTGTATGGTTCTTGATGCACTTCCACAGCAGTGGTAGTCACAGTGAGACCCAAATGTCTGCACAGCACAGAGGGGAGGTTGGAGCTGGGCAGAACTGCTTTTTTTTTTTTTTTTTCATCTTATATGTCAGATGGAAATGTACGTTGTAAATAAGTATCACTGGGCCCAGGTCCACCTCACACTTAACAAACAACACTTGTCTCACAGAGGTCATGGATGTTTGGGGTTTACGCCTGCTCCAGCACTCAGCAGAGGGGCTGTGGGGAGGGAGAGACTTAAAAACACGGAATGAGTTTGCCAGAGTTCTTTTTCTGATTATTTTAAGAAGCTTTTCTCAGTAGTGCTCACTGCTGCCTTCTGTTTTGCAGGTTTTCCCTTCCTGTTGCAGGAGGGAGATGACAGCGAGCAGACCAGGTGCAGCACAGAGAGCCCATTTGGGCCTAATGCTGTAATGTTTTGTGCTGCGTTTTTATCTGTCAGGATAAAGTAGTGTAATTAACCTAAATATAAGTGTTCTCTGTAAAACTCAGATGAATCCCGCAGGCCGTGTAACTTGCAAGCATCACTCTGCAGGTGCTGCATGATAGCAGGTGATGCTCCAGATGTTACCCAGAATGGTATCTGTACAGCTGCATTCAACTGTGGCTGCAGGCACCCAGTTTTCCATTGGCAGAACGGTGGGCCCACCACCTTGTTGCTGCTGTGCCATCCCCCTCTCCCCCTTGCTCTGAGACTTGGGTCTGTCTCTTGAGCTTGTGCAAACCTTTGTTCCTGCCTCGGCTTTCATTAGCTCAATAAAAGGCACACCTCCCTCAGCAATGAGCCTTGGCAGCAGGGCAGCTGGAAAAAGGCAGGCAGAACTGCTGCCTGTCTTCATTGCAGATGCACTTCTCCTTCATCTGCCAAAACTCTGGCAACAATTGGAATAATTACACTCCAGATGAGCCCCTGTATCCATCACCTGCTCCCTTCCTCCCCATTGTAACCATGTGCAGTCTGTGATGTGTGCTGAGATAACTGCCTGTGCTTGCTTCCCGCTTACCACGTGGATGTGATTTCTCTGCACATCTCACTACACGTGTCCTACATTGCTTGTGTGAGGCCAAGAAAATCCATGATCTTTCAGACATCATTTATTCTTTAGTTCATTTTTTAATCTTTCTTTCTAACTCGCAACACAATCCCTCTGTATATTGCTGTTTGAAATTCACAGGAATAAGAAACTTGAAGAATCATGCAATTCATACAAAACATTTATATTGGCTACACTTTTTCTTCATATTTTATTTCAATCCCCATTAAATTCCAGCAGGAATGTATCTGAGCTCTGAGTGTACAAAGTCATCAGCGCATGCTTGAACTGCCATGCATGTTACCCACACAGTGTAGACACGACAGATGCTGTATGAACTGACGTAATGTGAAGCACTATGAGGCAGTGGCCATTCTTTTCCCACCCCCTTGCTTGCTGTGAGCAAACTGACATCTGGAGAAGACGGAGACCCACAAAAAACAGTTAGACAAGCCCTCCACACCGCACCCAGCTCTTAAAGGCATGTTAAAAAAACCGAAAAGGGTCTTGAATAGACATTATAAATAAACTGCACAGCCTACCCCCTTGCTGCAGGAGCACATACGTCTGCGTTTGCCTGAGGGCTTCTCCTGGTCGAGGTCACAGACTCCAACCATCAGCACAGAGCCAAGAGGCCGAGGGCCAGCAGTGCCCGAGCAGAACCGCCAGCCAGCTGCTCCTCGTCCCGCCCGTATCTCCACACCAACAAGCCATTCTCACCCGCCCGCAGCAGCCCTCTCACACACCTGCCATCCCACTCCTCTGCTCGCCTTCACGCTGTTGGGCTGAGCTGTTGGCCACCTCCTCCAGGGTGTGTGGTGGCAGATGGGGCCGAGAGAAGCGCTGTGCACGTTGCTGGTGGAGCCAGTCAGCACGTGTGTGTTCTGAGTGATGCCAGAGGTAAAACTAGTTATGCTTGATAGGGCAAATCTCTGTTTAGAGTATGAAATTTTGTCACTTTAAAAAGACCACTGTGTCTGCTCATGCTGCGTTCAGGGGAAAGCAGCTGGAGGTTGCCTGCCAGGACATGCTTTGCTCGGATTTGCAAACAGTCCTATCTTATATCTAAAAGCCAGTTATGGTCTCAAGTCAATACTTGGTCGTAATTCACAGAAAAACAGACCTTCAAGTCTCAATTTGCAGTAAGAAATGTCGCACAGATACCCAACCAGCATTTGTCAAGGCTGCACCATCAGCAGTTTGGGGTGAACCTGTGTGCTGTTCCTGTCACCAGCAGGTCATCCCCACACTGGGTGCACCAACTGCCTTCAGAATGTCCTCACAGGCTGCCAAGTTTCAGGGATGCTCCTGAATAAGTGGCCATGGGCACTGCCCGTACCAGCTTGTTTAAACTGAATGCAGAACTTCAATCCTGCACCCTTTAGAGTTCAGCGTGCAGAAGGGACCTACCTGTTCCCTCAGAGTTCTTTTTCTTTCCATTATCCCCTCAACCCCTCACTGGCAAATAATGAGTTGCCTTAAAAAAATATCCTGTAAATACGCAGAAATACAGTTGCAATTTCTTGTATCTGCCAAGTCACTCAGTATAATGAGGGCCTGATCCTTGGAACACAGTCATCATGGCTGCCAGCTTGGCAAGCAGCAGCAGCATTTCCCAACTCTTCCTACCAGGGCAGTTCCTCAAGCACTGCCTCCTTCTCCTGGTGCAGCACATCAGAAGAGGGACTGACAAACTCCACGGCCACCCTATGGCTATTCAGAGGCAGATGAGCCTACTGCCACTTCATCCCATACATAGGGATGGTATGGATGGGTCTCTGTGTGCACAGCACTCACTAATGAGCTGATTGCGTGCCCCATGGTGCCCTGGCTCCTTGTTCGATTTTGTTCATGTTTTGGGTACACAGCCCCCTTGTTAGAGCATCATAGCTACAATTTGGCCAAACTGTGCTGATTTCAGCACAGATTCACAGCACAGATCACTGCCTGCCCACCGTGCCAGTGCGGATCCAACCTGATGCCCATCCCCACACAGGTGCTCTCTGTGAGCTTTTCGTGCTTTTACAGCACCTCTTACAGCATGCCCGGTGTTTCGTTGTTGCTCTCCTCCCCACTTCCATAACTTTCCAGCTCCTCAGGACTCAGCAATGTCCAAGGACAACCAATGCTGCCCCATATGCACACCAATCTGCCTTCTGTATGACTCTAAGTTTGCATTTGTGGAAATAACATTAATGCAAAAAATGTAAAATATAATAAAAACAGAAAAATTAAAGGAAATTTAGGGCATGTAGGTTCCAATGATAACAGAAACCACACACACACACACACAAATGGCCTTCGTAATTTCTTTCAAAGAGTTGGGGAGGAAGTGCTTGTCTCAAACCAGCAATAGTTCTCTTGCTCTCAGAGTTGCACACCAGAATTCCCCTCCATTTGTCGCCCTGCATGCCAACAACGTGGAGCAAAAGGGCTCCAGGAGTAGCAATGTGTATCTGGGACCACCAGGACCACCACCACCTTGGGCAGACGGCAAGCACCCCTGGAATCCTGCCAAGGCTGCAGGGGATGCTTGTGCCTGCAGGACCCATCCTGCTCAGCTGCACGCTGCCGCCCAGCAGCTCACACCCACTGCAAGGCAGAGCCTCGCTGCATTCACACCGTGTTTCCCATTCCTATCGCTGTAGATCCTGGCAAACAACTGCTGCCAGATTCATAAAAGAGCAGTACATTCAGCTACAGAGAAAATTCATCTCTTACATTCCCACCTACTGATTAGAGGCTGTGATGTCTCTTTTGCAAAGTCAGTTTCGCTCCCCCTTTTCCTTGCATTTTGTTTAAAGAAAATACAAGTCACCATTTAACAAAACACAATCCAAAGTTGAAGAACTCTAAGGGCTTTTTCCCTCCTTGAAAAACTTCACTTGCAAATTCTATAATCTCACACTGAATGTAACTCAAATGGGGGACTCCACACAGGCAGACTGTACTTAAATGTACTGTGTCACTGTGAATCTTCTCTTCCCTTAGCACTGGGGTGGGTGTGTGCTGCTCATGACAGTCTTGGTGATCAGCTGGGAAATAACTTCTCCTCTTCTGAGTTACTATGCACAGAAACACGAGCTTTCTCCAAGAACACCTCTAGGTGGCTGTTCTCAGCCCAAGGGATCAGGAGCACCTGCCACTGCTGGGGCCCGCAGTGCAATGAGACAAGGGTGGGAGCAGGGGAAAACCCCAGAGCAAGAATCCATGCGGCCAAAACTACTCACAGCTACAGAAAGAGAACTGTTGCACACCACAGATGGATGGAGCTGATGGCAGGAAAGCAGGAAGGGCCTTCAGTCACTGCCATGACTAACACCGGTGCCGATCCTTGGGCTAGTGGAAGTAAAAGAAAGGCAGGAATGGGTTTTGCAGACTGCAGGGATTTTGGCTTTTGTTACAAAGCACAACTCTAATGCTGACTTTGATGAGCCTGCAGCAGTTTTGGGGCAAGACAGATGTGCTCAGCAGGTCCTCTGTTCTCTGCTATGCAAGATGTTCTCACCTATCTCACAGCTGGTGGTGCCACATAAGCAAATCCTTTTGACACCTATACACTTTTTTCCCCCAAAAGCTCTAACATCTTTGTTCCTCCCCCTTCCAGTAGTTGCCAGCATAACAGCCAGCATTTAAAAATGCCACAGGCTATGGGATGTAATGCTGATCTGAGTGTGTGCAAGAGTAGGCAGGGGGAGAAAGTGGGAATAAACTGCTCTGGTTTCTTTGGTCCTAGGATGAGCTGCAAAGGCAGAACCTACAGCTGCAAGAGAGGCTGTGAGACCCAGGAGGTGAGTCAGGAGCTGCGGCACCACGGGCTGACACCAGGGGCTAGCCAGCACTGCTGCTTGCTCTCAAACACTTAACACAAGGTGAAATCCGTCATACTTGTCAGGAGCAACTGGAGTAAGCCAAGAAACTAATTGTGTAAAGAAAAACACAGGTTTTAGGAAATACCCATTATTCTGTGGTATGTTCTCTGCTTAGCACCATTCAGAGGTAGTGCACGTATGCAGCATTGTTAAGAAAATGTAAACGACAGTCTGGGCATTGCTTTGCAGAGCCAGGTTCATTTCCCGAAAACACATGGGTGTAAAGCCGCGCACTTCAGCTGGCATGTTCAGCTACTGAGACCGCACATGCTTGGCTGCAGATTCTTCATGCTTTTTTTTGACCCCCTGTCAGCCCCCAGACCTAATCTCTACTGATATTTGGCCTCAAGATCCAAGGTTTTCTCATCAACCAGACCAATCAAGCGCCTTTGTTGACACCCGGTTGCGCAGAGAATTAAGCTCCGTGCCATTTTTCCATTTCCCTCCCCATGCTGTATTTCCGACAAAGATTTTCTCCTTTTGCCTTTGAAACTAAGCTCCTCATGAACGAGGTGCTCACGGGGCACTGCTCACAGCCACTTTGGTACAGAACATGAACGGCAACGAAACAAAGTAAGGTTCAGCCCCTCGCTGCAGGGGAGCCTGGAGTCAGTCCCTAACCTGTAGAAAACAGAGCAGAAAACAGAAACCTTCCACAACTGACAAGACGCATCCCAAAATATTCATTTTAATTGACGCATTGCTCACTCCTGCAGGGTTTTGGTGAAGGAATTACCCTCAGAATGCCACCAATAGCATTAGACGATACTTGTTTGTGTTACATCTGTTTTAGCCCTTTATTATATTTTACCTGAAAATGTATTTTCGTAGAGACTTTATAACAATATTTCTGCATTATCAGTTCATTTTGTTTGCCTCTTTCCTGGTATATTAGCCAGGAAAAGGAATCCCCAGTCTGTAACAGACATTAATTCACACATTTTACTTTGTGCACATAGAAAAATGCGATTTCTGGATCATTGAGGCATATGGATTATGAACAAGACACTCCAAAAACCAACTATCTGGACGGGAATATACTTACAAAAATCTTTTATGTCAGAGTCAGGATTTCACAACATAACACGCTAATGCAAAATCCAGTAGCACCTGAAAGATTAAGGTAGCTGCTGCTATCACTTGCACATACTTGAAAAGATATAAGGAAAAAAATAAAGAGTAAAAGTACATTCTCCAGAGAACAGCAAGTGTATTTCAAAATAAAAGCTGTATTTCTGATTTTTCTTCAGTTTTTGTTAGATGTTTATCAGTTGCTTGTTTTTTCTCACTGTAATTCTTGTTGCTCTTTTTTTTTTTCTTTTTTTTTTTTTAAACAAGACTACAGTTGCCATTTAACAAAGTCTACGCAATGTGGCTGCTCGCCTCTCCTACACAAGATCATGTTGTTTTTCAACCTGCAGTACTCAACAGTGTTTTCAGGTACACACATTCCCACAGTTTCATCAAAGATAGATACAATTCATAATATCTGTATCTGGGAAAAGTCATGTTTCAAAGAAGCAAACTATTATCTTGAAACAGAATTGGAGAGGCTACAGTAGGCATAACCACCTATGAATGAACTTCAGGTTTCAAACTCTAAACACCCACCTATTGTAAATAAACATTAAAAATACTCATAGCATTCAGATTTTATTTATATGTGCACGTAAGTCTACCTTATCCCATTTCATGTTTGACAACTGCTTGGGAATTCAAAGGTGCAGCCCTCAGTAATTGTAAAAAATGAAATGAAGCATATCTACTGAATGAGAAAAGAAATTCTCAAATATCAATTTCCAATTTAAAATTTAATTTCAATAGGAAAATATTAAAAATGTGCACATCTAAATTTTTTCATGTTCTTTATATACATATGTGTGTGTACGTATACATAGAAATACTCATGTACCACACATATTCACAAAATTTAAGTGGAAGTATTTCTGTCCACTATTTTCCCACATGTAAATGACATCATATCTTTAAAAATGTCAATAATAATATCATTAAAAATAATATTACATTTATTCCATCATCAAGTTTCTAATGTTTTTATTCTTTCTTCATCCTTATTATGTCCACTGAGCAGTAATTAACGGGCCAGATTCTCCTTGCATTTCCTCCAATGTTATGCCAGCTAAACACTGCTGACACCACATCAGGGACGCATCTGGTTTACAGCAGCACAAGTGACAGGAAAATCGGGCCCAAACATCCCCAGTTAAATTGAAATCTTGTGATATTTGCTCGCGTGGACCTGATGAAGATGTACACATCACTGCCTAAAATCACTGAAAGAAAAACATGTAGCTCACCACAAAGTTTTCAACCAGTAGCACACTGAGTCAAGCTCCTCTACCCCATCAATAAAGAAAATAGGTGAGAAAATACCCTAAAAATATGGATAAAACTTAAACATTGTGTACATTACATACAGTATAATACATGATGGTTTAGCATTTGACCTAAACCACTTTCCTGACTAGTCAGGGGACACCTGATAAATCACTGGTAAAGAGAAAAAAAACGTATTTTAGAAATAAAGCATGTATTTCTAATATAAATAACCTGTGTGTATTGTATGGTATTTACATACAATACACACAAAAACAAACTTATCTTTCCTAGTTTTCAGTAGCAGTCTCTAAGTGGAGAAAATTATGTTGTACAAATTTATAAGCAGCTAGATTTCATGTTTAACATTCAAACAAACCTGGGGAGCAAACAGTGCATCTTTCAACTCTGAAGTCTGACACTCATTCATACATTTTAAAAAAGCCCTCTTCAAAATCATAAGCAATTAGTTTATGGCAAGAATGTACTTTGAAGCAAGACACGTCACACTTGGCTTACCTTTCGGAGTTGGTTTTTGTTGTTGTTGGTTTTTTTTAAGTAAATCTATTGTATAAAGAAATGTGTGGTTGCCAAAAGTCTGTTAAAACTTCCTCAAAACGACTTTAAAACCTGCTCATTGAGGATAAAGATTCAATTTTCTCCTGTTTTTAAGCTTTTTGTTAGCAGTTGTGAACACTGCCTGGTGTTGTTTCAATAAGGATGTGATATGAAGACCCATAAAAGAGTAAACATGTCTCCATTTCAACTTGTTGTGACAGCAAAAATTTTACAAACACCCTTCTTGGCTGGACAATTTCAGTGTCCAAGTAGTCCCTTGCAACATCTCTTGCCCTTAATGCAGTCCTAATAAATATTGCTCCCCATAAGCCATTATTCACAAAATCTGAAATTCATGTGACATTCTGAGAAAGTCTCCTGCAGAACAGGCTAACAGTTAATTTGACATAGGTATTTGAAATATGTAGCAAGGCCAGACAGCAAATGACCAGCTGCTCCTCGTTATCTGTGCATGTCAAATCTTACATTTAAAATTCTCATTTTTCCTTTTTTCCTTTTTTTCCTCGGGGACTCACCTGCCATCATCGGTTGGCTTCAACATACAGATTTAGTGGAAATAGTATTTCACTGTAATTACAAGGAATTCATATGATAATGTAAACCTTACAGTGGACAATATTGTAGAACACCAGAGTAAGCTCCATAAAGAAATACGGTATATCCCAGTATATATATAGATTAAAAAAACAAACAAACAAACAAAAACCAGCTGACCAACCAACTGAAATACCCAAAAAGAATAACTTCGCACAAGCAATTAGGAACTTTGTTTCAATTAAAGATGCAACTTTCTCTCACTCCTGGCAAGAATAAATTGGTAGTGGCACTGTTTTTCCACAGCGCAAAGAATCCTGAGAAATTATTAACAACAAAATACAGGGCTGTCATCAGTAAGTTCTTGCACAAAACATAGCAATTAAATATATTAAATAAATAAAAGAGAAGATAGCCTATATTGTGTCTGTCACAAAAAACAGATGTATCTGGGACACTGGTAATTCTTCTATCACTGATAATTAGAAAAGGATTGCATTCAATTAGTGTTAATACCATTCAAGTTATCTATGGCCAATAAAGTACAAGGAGGTAATTTGTAATTCAAGCTTTTTGTTGTTTCTTTTTTTGTCTTCAGCTAGCTACAAGCTGAGTTCTGAATTTTACATTGAAATATGACTCAAATTTAAAACAAACCCTCTCAGAGGAGCATTTCTAATTTTGTGCAACTTTGATGCAGAGCCCAACAAAGTCCTACGAAGAGAGACAGTGCATCTTTAAGCTGATTGGCACTGAAATCCCATTTTCTTTAGCTGCATTCTATTAGCTTGGCCAAGTTATCTCGTAATTCTGTTAGTTCAAATATTTTTCCGTCAAGAATTTCTAAAAGTGTCTTCAAGTTATTGCGAAAAGCTTCTTGCTCATTCTGACTTTTCTCCAGACGTTGCTCTAGGTCAGACAGCTGGCCTTCCAGGTCTTTGTTTCGAATTTCTACTTCCTTCAGAGAAAATACATAACATGTTAACGTATTGTCTACAAACAGAAAGCAGTCAAACCTCCTCCTGGTATTCATGAGCTACTTTTGTTTTCAGAACAATGTGCAATCCTTTAAAGTTTCCGTAGTACTAAAACCAGAACTGACATTTCTATTAGGACTGAATATCTAACCTTTCTTCCATTTTTTTTTAGTAATTCATCTGAAGGATGAATTACTGGAGAAGAAAGAAATTTGGTTGGCATACAATGTGTTATGTTCAGTTATCACTCTAAGATTTGGAAATACGGCACTCACTGAAAATGGCTTTTCAGGTCCCCTTACTTAACCTGGATGAATTGCTGCAGGGCAGAGTCCCCAGCAGGTGGCCTCGCACAGAAGCTCAACCTGATCACTGCTTTGTGTTGCGAGGAATACCACCTAACTTCTGTCTCAGGTTTTTTTCACACTAAAAATTAAGACTGGAGTAAAACCTAGCAGGACTGATCAAGGTGAAATCACCGGTAGCATATTTAAAAACACAAGCACAAGCTGTGACCCGGAGCAGCCTCCCACAAGTATGGAGCCGTGCAGATGAGCTCTGCACCCAGCACACACCGGGGCCCTCTCATATCTCACTGCTGGAGCATGGTCACATTGCTTTGCAACAGCACGCTGCTCTCATTCACTGCACGTCTCAAATATTCCTGTGGAATTTCTTAATTTTAGCTATGGAAACCACTTCTGCAGGCAGCACAGGAACAGTGTACTTAATGCACCTCGAGCAGCCATTTCCAGAAAAGTGCATTCTGAATTAGTACTTACATACGCTAGCATTTTTAAAATACCTCCTTTCTTTACAGCAGCTTTGCAGCACAAAGCTTTAACAGAGCTGCTCTGAGCTTTCAGACCAACCCATTTCAACCAGTCCTAGGGAGGAAGGCCTGGCACCCCGCAGCAGCCTCTGCCAGCAGCAAGCTTCTCTTCCTGCCTTCCCACCTCCCACTGCTTCCACTGCCATTCCTCTGTTGCTCTCAAAGCTCTGCAAGTGCCACAGGGGTGGAAGGCAGAGCCCCAGGCCTGGACAGGGAGAACTCCGTTGAGCTCAGGACCTCTAATCTCATCTCCTTGTAACTGGAATACCTCGCTCACTGCTCCTCTGTAAAGTGGCAAGTTAACAAAGATTTTAAAACTCTCTGGAGCTACTCAAAACCCTCATGGGCACCTACATGTGCCACTGGCTGTAGGGAACCTGCTGTAGCAGGGCACTGCGCTAGGTGATCTCCAGAGGCCCCTTACAGTCCTTACAATTATGTGATTCTGCAACAGAATTTTGGCCACTGGTCTTGAAAGGCACAGCTGACAGGAATTACCCCTTGCTGCCAGCATGAAAATTATTTTAACCCATCTGACACAGATCAATATGGTTGCCAAAGGATTAAAGGAAACCAACTGAAAAAGACTGTTTGTAGGCACAGCATAAATTAAAACAGATGTGTGCCTAGGTAATGACTAGCTACCTCACAGCTGTCAGAAACAAAAGAGCTGACTGTCACCCAGCCTGCCCACTGCAGGTTGTCCTGCACCCGGCCTGCAGACCAAGCTCTGTGGCATATGGTGCTGTGTGATGGCTCAGCACCCTGAAGCCAAGCAGCCATGTCCAGGCTGAGCCAGGGAACTCAGCGTCCTCTTGGCTCTGCTGGGATGGCACAGTCCTACCCATAGCTCATGCAGAACTGACTGAGTAAGCCTTTTACAATTAATTTCTGAAAAACATTACTTCCCAGCTGTTATTTTTGATCCCGACACATCTTTAGCCTGGATGAGTATTAGTGATTTTTATAACAATACTGAATTGAGAATTCATGTCCTGCTAACTTACAGCCTCCCACTGCAAATCAGTTTTCCTCAAAACTGTTCCTTATTAATGGAAGAAGCGGAGAGGTACCCGTGTAACACAGTCTGTTCCCTTAGTTGTATTGTAACTTCCCGTTATATGCAGTTAATCCCAGCCGACAATAAACTGACACTGATGATCCATTCAGGCTCTGGACACTGTCTTCAGATGCTCTTACAGAAGACATAATATATTTTCGTATATTACTTCCTCTTAGAAAATAAATACATTACTCAGAAGTACGTGTTTGCACTGTATGGATTTCTTGGGGAAGTCAGAGAAAAGACCAGAATAAAATATTCAGACCATATACAACAGCTATACTTGGGGATCAGGACAGTAATAAAGATATCCTTACTTATCATGAGAGTCACACTCATCATGACTCATTTGTATGTCTTAGCTAACAAAATTATTACGTAACAAGGGCCCTGATATTTACCTTTCACAGTGATAGCATACTTACTGAAATTTGCCTATGACTGATTTCTAAGTAATTCCCTGACACAGGTGTGTCAGAAATGCAAAATAACTTGAAATAATAATTTTTGGACAGCGCTTTTCATACAGGCTGCATTCCAATTAGTTATGTAATCCATTTGTGAACACAAGTGGGGAAAACATAAATCAGAAGAGAAAAGAGTGTGATGAACAGATACAGACTCTAGAAACATCCATCCAGGCAACAGGTCTACTACATTAACATGTGAGATAGGCAGTCTGGGGCTATGGATGAAAACACCATTTCTCTGTGACATCACAGACATAGGGTGAAGGATTCAGAGAGGGCTGTTACTATCAAAGCCGGGGAAGTGCTGCAGTAAGCAAAGATTCAAGATCTTTTAAAAGAGCTGCATCTGGTCAGCAACAAGCTTGAACCTGAACAACAGCAACTTCTATCTCAGATCTTAAGACAGCTTTAAACTTATTTCAATAGAACCACTTAAGGAACTGATCACCTACAAAGTGACATATGGACACATACATAATAAATCTACTTGTTAACTGAAGACATCCATATGCAAAAAAAAAGCTGCAAACTTTATAATTTTTAATAAAGACAGCATTCTTTAATTCTAAGACATCTTTGACCTTTTACTAGTCTCTCATTATTCTGCTTACTGAGGACAGCTGCTTTCCAACTCATTACTTCTTGTCATGAGATCTCACACTGATACTATTACATACAAGAACAACTTCTAACTTTCATTATTATCTCTTTCTTAAGTCTCTCAGATAAGTTCCTTTTCAGATGAAAATTTCCATGCTTAGTCTAAACTCAGCAATAATTTTTAGAGTACTGGAACTGATGTATTAAAAACAATCTTCGAAGTAACATCCTAATAACATACTTTAAATAAAAAAAAAAAAGGATGGAGGAAAATGAATAAAGTACTTTCATTCTTATATGGTATAATCTTTAGGTTAAAAATGAGATTCAAGAAAGTTCCAATTCATATAATCTATTTCAAAGGATACTTATTTAATGATCACTTAGCTGCGTACAGCGCGATGGAGGTTGCGTTTAGTGTGAATTGGGTCAAGGTGTACAAGGAACAGTGATGGTCAAATTTAGCGCTTTGGATTTGGAACTATTTAATGCCTGAGTTTCCAGGTGTATCAAAATTCTGAAGTCTGAATTCAAATTCATTTCAGCTCCAGAGTTGGGTGGAGATCTGTGGTGTTCTAAAAGGAATTTGGGTCAGTTCCCTCAGGAAAAATGTAGTGTTTTATTGCAGGTGGAAATTGTGGAATAAATTCCCAAGGAGCATCCTGACCCACCACTTATAGATTGATCCAGCAGCTTCAACCAATGCAGCATAAATTGCTGATGTAATCTGCTCACCTGAAGACCATTTTGCCCTTCTATCTAAATGAAGATGATGCAGTATAGCTCACCTGTAACTTCTGGGTCAAAGAATCCCTCTGTGCCTGGAGTTCTCTGGCATTGTCAATTTCTTGTTTCAATCTTTCGATTTCCTAAAGGAGAACAAACAATCCCTTTAACAAGACATGATGTGGTTTGGCTTCAGTGCAGGTAAGTTGGCTTCTTTTTCTTCTCTGGAATAAGCTGTAGCTAAAGTACCAAAATGGGCATCTGGCTACTGCATGTTAAATAAGCCATGCTGTCAATATTCCTGAATCATAATCCTGAAGAGGCCATTCAATTGTGAATAAACAACAATAATAAGTATTTTCTTTGTTACAGAAGTCCAAGCCTCTTCTGCTTCAAAAGATTAAACAAATTTTCTCCTGGAGTATTAAAGGTTCTTGCAGTTGAAAATTGTATACTTCAAAGAATCTGGTCTTGAACAAGGCAAACAAACCATCATATGAGGCTCCTTCCACCTCTTCCCTATCCTAAAAGGGCTGATTCTCAATCATTCTGTAGCTTTTCTCTAGGACCCATGTCAGTACAGGTCTTATTCCAATCTTTTCCTTTTTCTAGGTGATGGGTCTAGAATAAGGGCAGATGCACAAGAAATATCAGTTCTGTTACTGGCTGGAGATTTGACTTGCTTTGAAAGGCTGATCTTAGGGATCATAAAAATCAGCTATATTAATAGAGCTTGAAAAACAGACTGGTCAGAAAAGAGCATTGGTCGATTTCTTGCTCCAAATCCCTCTCTCTAGAAAAAGAAAGCATGCTTATGACTGTCTTCCTTCTTACTGAGTGTTCATAGCATCAGTGTGAGGATAACTGCTCTAAAGAAACCACTTCTGCCACAATGTAGATTTATTTTTGCAAAGATCTCAGAGATACCACAAAGGAAAAAAATGATCTATGTTCAACTGCAATTACATAATAAAAAATATATTAATTTTTTTCAAATCAGCTGAACGATTATTTTAACTTGTTAACAACTGTATGAAATAACAGTGTTTACCAGTCATTGCAAGATTAATATCCAAAATTTTTAGAAATGATGTAACAGTGAATAAATAAATAAACATTAGCAAATACCTCTTCTTTCTTCTTCAGTGTAGATTCTAATTCCTGTATTGTCTGGTTTAATTCTGTTTTATGTGTGTGGACTGCATTGGCTTGACTGCTCACACACTCTAGCTCAGTCACCTGTTGAAATAATTAGTAGCAACATATACAAAATTAACTGTAACAGTTTCAAGGTACCATTACTTCTTTGCATAAATAGCTTCATTTGAAATATTATCACTCCTAGTTCTGGGTGACTTATGTGATTAAAATGAAGATATTCTTATGAAGCCTGCATAAAATTCCTCAAAAAATATTTTTGCAGAAAATGGCTACTATGTTTCCTACAATAACTTGGAAACAATAAATGTAACATGTGCAAGGCTAATTTTACATTAATTAAAAGTAATACTTACTAATTATTTTATAGAAGAAGCTTTATTACTGTTTCAGAAACAGTAATGGCTAGATGAGTAAACACAGATCTGTCCATTTAACTTAGCTCTCCATCTGACATTTTTTAACATTTCATCACCTTAATCAACTAAGCAACAATGTTCCCTCTCTTCCTAGCAAGCCAATTAACAATTCACAGCCTCATTTTCTGACACTCCTTCAAGTGTACTAGCAGACTCTCAGCTACCAATGCACAGCTGCCAACTCCTTAACTCCTCTTGGTTCAGATCACAAAGCCAACAGCTAATGGCACTTTTTGGTTTGGTTCCTCTTTATTAGCAGGCAGCATTTTCTATCTGCCCTTTGGTAAGACACCTCACAATGGTATATAACCTTTCCATCTTACTTCCTTGATTGAAGAGATGTAGATATCCTGCTACTCATAGAAACTGACAAAAAAAAATGCACCAAAGAAATAAAACAGCCTAAACAGAAAGTCTTTGTTCACAGACCTCTCAAATTATGGACAGAGAACTCTCACACCACATGTCTGCATTGGTATCTGCACCAAAACCCTGCTGTTAAATAACAAATTGTCAAAAATATGTGTAATTAATAAATTAATCACTTTTTTTTTTTTTTTCAGAATATATACACCTGTCAATTTTAGTACTTATTCTTAAATAGAGTTTCATCATCTAACTACAGAAGAAATCTGCCTCAAAAACTTCTTAGATGAAAGGATGTTTCCATGCTGCCCAATTTGGCAAGGTAAACTTGTCTCAATTTAACTTCCTAAGAAAAGCAGATCCCAGACAGTGTGCAGGTATGCTTTGGGACAATTTTCTTGCTTTGATTTTTGAGGAATGTATATCAACAGTGAATGCCAGCGAAGCCGCTGTCATGCCAGTAATTTTAGATTCTGAATTGTTTCTAGGCTTAAATTGAGATTACAGGGTGCAGGGAGAAGTAGAGAGAAAGCCAAGATTGAAATAGAAGAAAATTAAAACAAAATCCCTGTCAGCTTTTCCTTTCTGAGTCACAGGGCACGAACCTTCCCTGTTAACAGTCATGGCTAGTCTAGGTTCTCCTCCTGTAAAGCTGTAATTTGGCATTTTTGCACATCAGGTTTATAGATGCTGAGACACAAAAATTACAGCAATTCTTAGGAGGGATAAGGGAAATTAGGGAAGAGAAGATAGCCTGACAACACCCCCAACATGAATACACTAAGAATTATCTCATTTACTAGAATGGTCCCAAAAGAAATATCTGCACTCATATAGTAACAACACTCAAACAGTAACAACAGTTTATTCAGGTTTATATGCAGCTGAGCATTATGACTGCAGTCTTAGATCATTTTCTCAGTTTGCTAAAATTACATACAATTATAATATTTAGATTTTTTTCTGACTACTACCAATTGCAACTGTTACAGTGCTCACTATAACACTTACACAAACACAAATGATCAGAATGCAACACACTCACTGGGATAAACCTACATGTAAAGAGTGTCTGACTAACATGCTGTTTTACACTATTCTGTGTAAACACATCAAGAATGACAAAGTCACAGAGCAAGTTAGGCTGGAAGGGTTGTTTATTTAGTTCAGGCCCTCATTCAAATCTGGATACATTTTGAAGTCATGTTTGGTGCTAAGGGTCTTGCCCAATCAAGAACCATTCACCATTCAGTAGACCTGCCACACTTTTACACATTCCTACATTTCTGCCCTTGGCTCAGCGTAAATCCTGCCACTAATGTTTTATGTTGAGCTCTAGTTCATATTAAACTTTTGCTACAACTGCCAAACTCATCCACCACTTCCAAAATTGAACCTGTTGAACATTTTCAAGCATTTCTGCTGATGGAAGTGGTCTTTTCCCCCTACTTTGCCCTGGTGAGGCCACATTTGGAGTTCTGTGCTCAATTCTGAGCTCCTTGGATCAAGAAAGAAAGGGACCTTCTAGAAAGAGTCCAGAAAAGGCTTACAAATATGATGAAGGGCTTTGAGCACCTACCTTCGAAGAAAGACGGAGAGACCTGGGACTGTTCAGCCTGACAAAGAGTAGACTAAGGAGGTATCTTCTCAACACTCAAAATTTAAAGAGTGGGAGGAAAGTGGGAGGAATGGGGCCCGGTTGTTTTTGGTGATGCCCAGTGACAGAACAAGGAGCAATGAGCACAAACTGAAACACACTAAGTTCTAACTGAGCACGAGGAAAAATTCCTTCATTTTGAGGATTGCAGAACACTGGAACAACTGCCCAGAAAGCAGTTGCGGAGCCGCGCTCTCTGCAGATACTCAAAACCTGCCTGTCTGTTTTCCAGTCTGCTTCCAATCTGTATACAATCAACTTTAGCAGAGAGGTTGGACTAGATGATCTTCAGAAATCCTTTCCAAACGGTATGATTCTGTGATTCTGTAAATGCTCATTTACACACACAGCAGGAGAGACAGAAGAAAACTCAGTCCCCAAATTACCTTCTTAGTGCTCCAGAAGCAAGGGTGCATAAGTGTCTCCCAGGAGCTGGTGGGGGTGAAATGTTACTGTTCTTGGCTGCCTACATTGCTGCCAGCTGGAAATGCCGCCTGGAAAAGACCATTTATGGCCACATGGCTCAGGTGAACACTTCTCAGTGTGCTCTGGGCAACTCGAGACATGTTCTGAAATCACTTCAGCAAACACAGCTGATTTTGCTTGAGTGAGTAGAGTTTGCCACATAGATCTTCTTGCCAACTGTCAGGCACTCCCAGAAGGCAATTAATTACCCATACTAAAGGGACTGTGATGTGAACTCTAGTCCAGCTTTTCCCTGGGCAAAAACACATTTCTGTGATTCTGTGATTTCTTACTGCTTAAGAAAATAACGCTTAAGAAAATTACTGCTTAAGAAAATAAGAAAATAAGAAAATAACGCATTGTTTAACTGTTCTGTTTAATGTTTGTTGAAAAAACAGTAACAACAACAACAAAACAGGACAATTAGAAGGAGATGGTTACTTTAATCAGTCTTATTTAAATGTCTATTCCTATACAAATCTGAAAAGATGTCAAATATTTCCATGATGCTCTCTCCCTCAATGTACCTTTACATTAAAAAATCATTTTATGACCTTTTAAAACATCTGTAGAGTAAGATGGGTTGGAAAACTGCGCAACATAAAGCATATGTGATTGAAAACATAAGTAACAAAAGATAAAGCTCTAGGCAAAAACTGGATAACATTTACTTGCTCAGTTCCCTTGTTTCAAATTGAATTATTTTCCTCGTGATCATTGGTCCAAAAAAACATTAAAAATAACTATTTAAGCATTATGCACAGAGGGAGGCAAAGAAGAATGGTAAAACATTTTAGTCTGACCCTCCCAACTGCTATTTTCAGGGACATCTTACCTATTTTTTTCATATTTAAGAGCAAGGTACAATCAATCATTCAAATTTTTGCACAGTAACATTTAGCAACATTAACCAATTTATTAAAACTCATTTCTGGTATAGAATTCTGACTGTATTCTGAATTCTGACAAAGACTTAAAAAAAAAAAAAAACTTTGAACAATAACAGATTAAACAAAATTCTTTCTGCCACTATAAGACTGAATAACTGAAAAAAGTCAAAATTGTGACTTCCTAATTGAGACTTAAAAAAAAAAAAAAAGGAACATTGCTCTTACCCCTACTTCTGTACTTTACATTATCACCAAGGTAATCACAGCTCATGAAGAAAGAAGGTCTGAAAGGGCTATTTGGTGACTACTTCATAGGATAGTTTTTTATTATATGAAAATTATTATACCTAAATGCATAGTTTAATGAGAAATACACTAGCTCAAATAAGACAGAAACACAACTGTTCTGATAGATTCTTTTCTGCAGAAGACATTCAAGATTTTTCCAGGGATTTTGATCTAGGGTCAACAGCTTATAAACAGAGAACACCAGGCACAAGTTTTCATCATAGTGTTCAGCTGTTCGCAAGACAGAAGTGAGGCCGTGTAACAGAAGGGGAACAGATTTTATGTGAGCTCAAGACAGTGTCTGCACAAAGCTACTCCAAGGAAGCAAACCAAATCAAAGCGCTAAGAAACCAAGTGAAGAGACTGTGTCAAATCTCAAAACAGACATCTGGTTAACTGCTGAAGGTTTTGATCACTCCAGGCGAAGAAGTGGGGATTACAGGAATATCTGAAGAGGCCATCCTCGCAAAGCTCATCTTTTTTCAAACCACTTTCTGGAGATAGCCATGTACTCTTCTGATCTCCATCAACAGAAGTTTTTATTCAGGATCTTACAGTTAGAAGCAATAGGTCATTAACTTGTTCTTAAACTTCACAGAAATTATTTCAACTATTACAGAAAAATAGAGAAAGACAGCTTAAGGTAAATTTTCAGTGTTGCTTTAGTTTGTTCAGTGGATACTCTCACAGTCTTTAATCTGCTTTCTAATGATGTTTTTGTCATTTGTATTTATTGTGGAACACAATATCCAAGATCTACTAGCCCAGGCTATAGTGCAGAACAGCAGAATATTCATGTGTAGTTTAAGTATTCCTTATGTTTTTTTAGCCAGCTGAGTTACATCTCTTAATGGATCGTAACTGCAACTCTGATAATATTATTCCATCAATAATTGAAGATGAGCTTCCTACAAAGAAAAACTTCTCCACAATGAGAAGAAAAATGATACTGTGTGTCTCAGCAATACTTGGAAGAACAGTTTCACCTAATTTTTG